GTATCTAACAGAAGCAAAAGTAAGTGATAGATGCAACAGTGTCTATGAGATGCAACAGTGTCTGACAGATGCAACAGTGTCTGAAAGATGCAACAGTGTCTATGAGAATGCAACAGTGTCTGAAGATGCAACAGTGTCTGAAGATACAAAGTATCTAACAGAAGCAAAAGTAAGTGATAGATGCAACAGTGTCTATGAGATGCAACAGTGTCTGAAGATGCAACAGTGTCTGAAAGATGCAACAGTGTCTATGAGATGCAACAGTGTCTGAAAGATGCAACAGTGTCTATGAGATGCAACAGTGTCTATGAGATGCAACAGTGTCTATGAGATGCAACAGTGTCTGAAAGATGCAACAGTGTCTGAAAGATGCAACAGTGTCTATGAGATGCAACAGTGTCTATGAGATGCAACAGTGTCTATGAGATGCAACAGTGTCTGAAAGATGCAACAGTGTCTATGAGATGCAACAGTGTCTATGAGATGCAACAGTGTCTATGAGATGCAACAGTGTCTATGAGATGCAACAGTGTCTATGAGATGCAACAGTGTCTATGAGATGCAACAGTGTCTATGAGATGCAACAGTGTCTATGAGATGCAACAGTGTCTATGAGATGCATCAGTGTCTATGAGATGCATCAGTGTCTATGAAATTTAACAGTGTCTATGAGATGCAACAGTGTCTATGAGATGCAACAGTGTCTGAAAGATGCAACAGTGTCTATGAGATGCAACAGTGTCTATGAGATGCAACAGTGTCTGAAAGATGCAATAGTGTCTGACAGATGCAACAGTGTGTATGAGATGCAACAGTGTCTATGAAATTTAACAGTGTCTGACAGATGCAACAGTGTCTGACAGATGCAACAGTGTCTATGAGATGCAATATTATCTGTCACACATAACAATGTCTGACAGATATATCTTTCTATGATTCTAACCCTAATTACATTTTTCGTAAAAAACTATATTTAAGATTTGCAATTAACACCCTTTTTTCTCTTCCAATAATGCACAAAACCAAGATTTGACATCAGATTTAAAATCTCCATCAAGTCTGCTTTCCAAATCCGCTGTCAAAACTTGAATATCTCAATTAATTAATGATATTCAGATATTGCGAATAATCTTTAGGTAAAGAAGAAAATTTATGTTGTAAAATCATATAAAAATGTAGTTAGAGAGCAAAAATTATGTTTGAGTGGATCTCCATGTCGTAGTGGATCTAGATGTTTGAGTGGCTTCAGATGTATGAGTGGTTTTCAATGTCAGTGTGGATCAAGATGTCTGGGAATAAAAGTAAGTCGTAGGTTAATATAAGTTTGATATTAATGTAAGTATGACTTAAAATGTAAGTCTCGGACGAAAGTAAGTCTGACTTGAAATGTAAGTCTCGGACGAAAGTAAGTATGACTTGAAATGTAAGTCTCGGACGAAAGTAAGTATGACTTGAAATGTAAGTCTCGGACGAAAGTAAGTCTGACTTGAAATGTAAGTCTGACTTGAAATTTAAGTCTTGGACGAAAGTAAGTCTGACTTGAAATGTAAGTCTCGGACGAAAGTAAGTCTGACTTGAAATGTAAGTCTCGGACGAAAGTAAGTATGACTTGAAATGTAAGTCTGACTTGAAATGTAAGTCTCGGACGAAAGTAAGTATGACTTGAAATGTAAGTCTGACTAGAAATTTAAGTCTCGGACGAAAGTAAGTATGACTTGAAATGTAAGTCTGACTAGAAATTTAAGTCTCGGACGAAAGTAAGTATGACTTGAAATGTAAGTCTCGGACGAAAGTAAGTCTTGGAAGAAAGTAAGTATGACTTGAAATGTAAGTCTCGGACGAAAGTAAGTCTGACTTGAAATTTAAGTCTCGGACGAAAGTAAGTCTGACTTGAAATTTAAGTCTCGGACGAAAGTAAGTCTGACTTGAAATGGAAGTCTGATTCTAAATGTAAGTTCTAGACTAAAGTAAGTCTGATTCTAAATATAAGTCTGATATTAAGATAAGTTTGTAACTAAAATTAAGTCTTATTCCAAAAGCAAATTTAATTGTATAATAAGTCTGGATCTAGAGTAAGCCTTAGTCTACAGCTATTCTGTGTCAAAAATAAGTCACGAACCATAGTAAGTTTCGGACTAGAGTATGTCTGTAATTCGAATCATTCATATTCTTCAATTATCCCGCCAAAAAAATTATCGTCTTTTTATCATACCATAGTTTTTATCAATCTCGTTCTACTAAAAAACCTTTATATTGGTGATTTCTTTGTTAAACCCGTATTTTTTCATGTGAATCTTATTGTATAAACTCTAAAAGTTCAATTTCCGGTCGAAAAAAACTTGAAAACAATTTGTATTCGACGAGTTAAAGAGCTCTATTTATTCTAAATTTTCCAAAAAAAATTAGATTTCGTTTTTTCGCTTCAAAAAATGTTGTTTTAAGTTTTAAAATTTGTAATTCAAAATTTTTTTGGAAAGATTTACGATTTTTTAATACTGCGAATGAGTTTTATTTTACATACTCTATTGATAAATCATATTTTTGTCGAGATATAACTTTTTTTAAAAAAATTATATGCAAAGAGTGTTATAGAATTCTAGAAGGTATAGTGCATAATTTGAAGTATACTATCAAATAAAGAAATTTTACAGTTTTTTAGTTTTATTTAGATGTACGTTATTTTAGATGGCTTCGTCGAAAACAAAGCATGTCTGTTAAGTTTATTCTTAACATGGTAAATAAAATGGCAACGAAGCCCAGTGTACTGCGTCTTATGCCGTAGTTTTTGTTATCTTCATACTCAAATACAACAAATACAAATAGATTTATTACGAAAAAACGTATAAAACAAATGATATATTTATTTCTAGACAAGTTGACGAACATGTAGCGCAACTGTATCGCTTTAGAGAACAGTTCTTCCAACACCTACTCATTCAGTGAAAGATTTAAGAAGAACTCTTACTCGACCTTAACTACCTACGCTTTGCTTGAACAATTCCCAACGAGGTTACTATAAGGTTGCAAGTCTTGTCAAAATGTAGTATGCAATACGTTGGGGAAAAATAGATATATACGAACAAACTACTACAGTCTAGCAACTAGTCTTTAAGTGTAATGTATTTTTGCTACAAAGAGCTCATAACGAAGTCAAATTTTGCAATTTGATGTCAAAACTAGCTAGTTGTTGAATCAAATAGCGTTGTGACTTTGTATACATCACGATCTTGTGGTATCAGAGCTGTACTGCTGCAGACTAATTCAACTAAACATGAGCAAGATTGGGATTTCTATTCTCTGGGGTGCGAGGCTCGTCCAAAGTTCAAGCAGCTACAGTGTTTTGGATCACCTAAAGAATTTTGGGAATTCAGTTATCCGTTACTACTCTTAAATTAAAGTAGAGCACTACAGCGAATCAATCGTAATGCCTAGTCTCTCCAGTAACAAGCTGATCTGCTATATTAACTTTAAAGCCAAATCGATTCACATTGTTGCTGGTAAGTCTGATTGCTTCAGATAGAGAGCATGAATTGCTTCTTTATCATCTAATCCCCATCCCCCTTGTTCCCGATTGGATGACATGGACAATTCATCTTTCTCTAACGAAACAAAATGACACTTTTTAGCGGCTTATTGACTCAGAAAAATTTGAGAGTTAACGAATAATTTTGGCGCCAAAAATAATTTCTCTTAATTTATTAAATTTAATATACGCACATCCATAAGTTATGCTATTTTTTCTATTTATTTTGTTCTAAAATTCTAAACATTTTTTTTTCATAACATAAAATATGATGTCTAGTCTCATTTACATAACAACATGCCTTAGAATAGGTTTTTTATTCTTTTTGTCACTTTAAATTAAGAATAAAAAGATAATTTAAATTGAATATTTGCGATTATTCTCACTAATGCTGCTTCCTCTTTTATTAGGTAGACAACAAAAAGTTAGCCTTGGACTCCCATATCAGATTTTTGATTGGTTGCGTATATAATGAGCTGGGATTGATACACGAAAACCCAGTGAGAAAATTTTTGACGCCTGGTTATATTTTTCACTAAAATTGACCAATGATAGTTCAAATTAATATACTATGCATAAAAGCAGATTTCTAGTTTGTTCTTCGCAGGATCTCATGTATATATTTGTTGTTTTTAGCTTTACAAAAAAGAATATTGTCAGAACAGTGTTAAAAGGTATCACAATTGAATTAGAAGTGTTTATTCTGGATTATAACAGTGTTTCGGCATAAATATTTTGAGTATGCCATAGTTTCCGAAATTGAGAACATTTTTCATCATAAGATGTTCTTGCATAGTAATTGGGTGTGCCTTATTGTTGTACAATTTAAATAATTTTTATGTAGAAATCAATTGATTCCTAGAACAATCAAATTATTCGTATTCGCTCAATGAACTACTATCTTGTTATTTGGTTTTTTGTGCTTGTTATTGTTATTTAGTTCATTTTATCAAAATTAATTTAAAAAATTATATGATTGGAAATTTGAGCGAATATTTTTGCCGTTTTGATGTTAAAATGCATGACTTTCTGTTATTAATGTATTTAATTGATAATAACAATACTAATGCGATATCTTTCATAATAAAATTCCCCAGATATGATTTAAATTTTGAGGGAAATCACTCAAAAACAGTTAAATCATATAAGTTCTATTCGTCATTTGTTGTTAGTTTCATTTCTGATTTAATATCATAAGCATCATTTTATAACCGAATAAAAAATTTTAAATGTGGGGCTATTTGAATAAAAACGTGGTCATCACTCTCAGAATTTGATATCGACCTTTCAATTAATTGAAAAGGTTTTTTATTTTGACCATAGCGTTTTCCCAAATTTAAAAATTTTAATCTATTTATACAATACAATAAATTGTCTTTAAAATTTGAGAGCTGGGAAATTTTACTCATGTAAACTTCTCAAACGCGGTCAGCCTATTGAAAATTGATGTTTGAACGAAATATGTCATTTTAACATAATGCAGACAAAGAGAACAAAGATTGTCGCAACAGTTGGTCCAGCTTCTGACAACTCCACAACACTCGAGCAATTAGCCCTCGCTGGTGTTAATGTTTTCAGATTAAACTTCTCCCATGGTTCACACGAGTATCATAAGGAAACATTAGACAAGATCAGAGAAGTCGAAAAGAAAGTTGGATTCAAGATCGGTGTCTTACAAGATATCTGCGGTCCAAAGATTCGCGTCGGAAAATTAGAACAACCATTCGACCTCAAGACAGGTGACAAAGTTACAGTCGTTAGAGATGAAATCGTTGGCAAGCAAACAGGCGAACATTCCTACGAATTGTCAATCAATCATCCTTCAATTTGCGATATCATGAAGGTCGGCGAATACATCTACCTCTACGATGGTATGATCAGAGCCCGTGTTACAGCTGTCTCTTCCGAGAAGATCGAAACAGAGATCGAGAACGATGGTACACTTGCTTCCAACAAGGGTGTCAACTTCCCGAACACAAAGCTCGGCATCGATGTCATCACACCAAAGGATAAGAATGATCTCGAATGGGGTGCCAAGAACGATGTTGATTTCGTTGCTGTTTCCTTCGTCCAGACAGCTTCTGATATCAAGAACGCCAAGAAGCTCATCGCTGAATACGGTGGCCACGCAAAGGTCTACGCCAAGATCGAGAAGTTCGATGCTATCGAGAACATCGATGATATCATTGCTGCTTCTGATGGTATCATGGTTGCTCGTGGTGATCTCGGTATCGAAATCCCATTCTACAAGGTTCCACAATGCCAGAAGCTCATCATCAAGAAGGCAAACGAAGCAAGCAAGCCAGTTATCACAGCTACACAAATGATGCTTTCCATGGCTAAGAACGAGTCCGCTACACGTGCTGAAATCAGTGATGTCGCAAACGCCGTTCTTGATGGCACAGATGCTGTTATGCTTTCTGAAGAATCAGCTGTCGGTATCCACCCAGTTAACGTTGTCCAGGCCATGGCTGAAACAATCAGAGAAACTGAGAAGATCTATCCATTCGGAAAGTACGATTGCTTCAAGTTCGAAGACGAGACTGATATGGTCGCTTCATCAACAGCAAGACTCGCTACAAATGTTGGTGTTTCTGCAATCATTTCTCTCACATCTTCCGGACAATCCGCAGTTAAGATGGCCAGAAACCGTCCAGAATGCTACATCTACGCCGTCTGCCACAGTGAGAAGGTTGCTCGTTCCCTCACAATGGTTTGGGGTGTTTACCCAGTTCTTATCATTGCCCCATCTCAGCTTGCTACAATGCTCGCTAACACAGTCAAGTGCTTGACTCTTGATGGCGTCATTGATAACAAGAACACCTACGTTATGACTGCCGGATACCCATCTGGTGTTGTTGGCAGTACTAACTATATCAGAATTATCCGCAAGGCCCAGATCGATTACTACCTTAGTGTAGCCGTCTAAATAAATAATTCTATCCCTATATAAATCAATCTTCTTTTTTCTTTATATTTTGTCAAGTAGATATGATCCTCTGAGGTTTGATACAAAATTGATTATCAAATCTAGATTAAATTTATGATTTATTCAGGAGTAAATAGTTTAATATCAATCATATAGTTCTGCATCTGTTATAAAAGCTCTTTTTGTTGAGATGATATCAATTTCTATCAGTGATTTGTTACTGCAAGATGAAATTGAATAGATAATCGGACTTATCGTGTATTTTTAGAGTATATTAAGTGAAAATGATTGCTATTTGATGAGGATCTATAGTACAAAATAAAATAAATTTCAAAATGATCCTTGAAAATGAAAAATTCAATGTAACTTTAGCTATTTGTGTAAAATGGCTCAATGTTATAAATTTAATTTGTATGTTTTGTTAATAAATATAAGGAAAAATTGTAATTTTTCCATTTGATTTTTTAAATTTCAAATTTTTTTTGGAATTTGAAAAATTCTCACATTCGATAGCTAATGTTCAACTGAACATAAACGCATGAAACTTGTTCATTATATTTAAATTTTTAAATATTCTTATAAGAATGAAAGATTTTTACATAATTGAATGGCGTCATGCTTAAATTCCATTTCATTTGTTCATCTCAACAATCTGTGAGGGATTTTAAAAAAGAAAAATGTATACAGTTGGTAAAAACAACAATTTTTACAAAGTATTCTGACCAGAAAGTACTGATCTTGCTACATGAGTAACTTGCTTCCACTTTAGAGATACAAGCGGCTCAGATAATTCTTGAATTTTCGTAATAATCTTTGGAAGCTGAGTTAATGTGCTTTTGGATTCATCCTGTTCGATATCTATCAAAGCAGCTGATATCCATTCGGCGTAATTTTCATTTTGCTCGGAAATATTTGAAATTGATTTTGTCAGAAATTGAAGTAATATTGTAGCAGAATGAAGCTGGTTTGGCGAGAAGTACTTTTCGAAATGCTTTTCTTTGGTAAATTCGAGTAATTCATTAGAATCTCCGGAAATAATCAAATTTACAAATGGATTTGAAGAAACCTTCTTGAGAACATTCGATAAGGCACCCACATTTTCTGTTGAGTTCTGTAGGGAAGCAGTACTGACAACGAATTGACTATAAAGAGAATCATTTAAGTCATTGAAGCTTGATTCTATGCCTACTGTAATTTTTTGATTTCTTTCTTGAAGATTATGGATAACGGAATCCATATCCATAGCTGAAACAGGAGTCAAAGATTTTGGTGTAAAAGCGTCGAATCTAGTGTCTTTCTTTCGCTTTGGCTGCTGCTCGTGCTTCTTCTTATCATTGTCGTTCTTCTTGTGATTTGGTTTCTTTGACTTATTATCGACCTTTTTTTGCGCTTTACTCATTTGAAAAAAAATTTTTCATGTTTCTAAAATCTTTGTTTATTCAATCTCACCTTCAATAAAGCTCGATTCCCATATAATATATGGGAAGAATACTACAGACAACCGGCAGAAAGATATACGAGCATCACAGATAACGCAAAGACAACTGTTTCTCAAAATTTCTTTTTATTTTCTTCAAATTTCAAAGATTTTAAAGATAACATCATTAATTGCAGTATTAATTCAATTAAATTACTACATTCAATATGCATATATACTAACATTACACAAAATAAAGGAGATTATGGTTGCATCTTCTTCGAATGTATTGCCCAAGCCGATTTTTCTCTATTAAGGGCTGTGAAAACTGAGATGGACATTGCATTCATACAAATTTGTTCATGCATTAGCAAGCAAGATTTTCGTTAACTTAGTCTCTCTCTATCAATGCGACTACAAGAACACTGGAATTTTAAACACTTTTTAAAAGGAGGTCTATAGGATTTTTAGTTCAAATCTGAGATAAAAAATAATTTTCGAAGTTTGTCTCAATGAGTATTTGATGTTTATGAGAAATTACATCATCTTTTGGACTATTTGAGATAGTTGAGCTATAGATAAGTTTTAGATAAGATTTTTAAAAAATACAAATATATCAAAAAGTTTTAAAACAATAAAAAACAAGAAATATGAAACAAATCAATATAATTACAACTATTTGAGCGAATTAAACACGTCAGTTGTACGGAGTATCGTCATTTACGTAAGGATTCTCGATTCCCTCTGGATGAATGACTGTAATCTCTCCCATTTCGTGGGTTGGTATTGCAGGTGTAATAGAATCCGCTGTAATTAACTTTTCTTCGATTTCTGATGGAATAGTCTGAATTGGAGGTGGATTTTGTAAAGGAGTGTCTGGGAAGTCATTGATTTCGTTCTGCATTGATTTCTTGAATTTACTGATCTTTAGTATAAGGACAATGTTGATAATAACACCAGCACAAGTTAATATTAAGACAATGATCCATTTGATGGTAGATATCGTTTTTTCGTCAAGTATAAACTTATCAAGTTCTTCTCTACGTATGATTAAAGGGAATTGAAGGACTGTATACGAACCTTTGATTGAATTTGTCTCATTTCCTAAGTTTGTCCTTTTACTTGGTGTGATCTTGACGTTGAATTTGTCCTCCTTGATGCCTTCAACGAAAGCGTAGAAATTTCGAACTTGATGAATCTGGAATTTCTCGATATCGTTTCTTGTCACAAAAATCGATTTAAATGATAATCTCAATATGATAATATTATATAGAAAGAAAAAATTTCAATTCATAATTTTTTTCAACTAAAATTGTGAGAATAATAATCGCCTTTGTTTCCCTTATGAAAATTCATGGTTTAAGATAGGATTTGCAAAACATAAGCTTTGTTTTCATACGCCAAAGCCAAATAGTATGGATGAAGCTTCAATCAGCCCAAATGTTTTTATGATACTTGTTGTTCAAAAAAGTGACATTTCCGTCGAGATTTTTTTTGATCAACATTGTTTACCATGAAAACTTATATATCCAAACATTTCTTTAGTATTGCAAGTTTTTCAAACAATCATGAAGGCTAATTCACTTCCTTAACTGAAGGGATACATTTGGAATTCATGAAATTCAACGCTTTGAAAAATACTTGATTTTTTTGATATTCGAAAAAGTGACAATTTTATTTATCTCCATTTTTGTCATCTGCATCTTCTTAATTTGTTTCTTTTCTCAAAAGAAATTATCAACACATAAAATAAATTCATGAAAATCTAACTGCTCATCAAAAAATTCTCTTTTAATTTCAAATTTTATCTCCAATAAAAATTCATATTTTTCAAAATCATCTATTATAAATATTATCAACATAAGCAATATATCGAACAATCTAGTTATTATTATATTTATATTTCAAAATGTTAACATTTCGCATTTTGAGAAATTGAAGAGGCAAAGGTTTTTGAATACCCTAATCAATAAGAGAATAATCATGTTCTTTGACCCATAAACTTCACCAAAATTTTGTGAATAATTTGATTTTATAAATGTTTGATAAAGCTAAAACGATATTGATTCACTTGGAATTCACTCCAAAATATTATTTATTACCACAGTTTTCCACTGTTCTACTATTTTATTCATAAATTAAGAAAAAACATGAGTAATTTCGATTATTTTTAATGTATTTTCAGAAATTTATATGTAAATATATATTTCATATTTTTTGACTTTCATTTTATTGGATGAGGCATCAGTTTTGACCATGAATTCCAAGATTTTTTGTTGAATTTAAAGAAAACAAAACCGTGATGTTTTCGCCATATAATACTTCCTTCAATCAAACGTAATTTGATCAAAAATTCCAAGGATTTTTATTTCAAAGATCAATAGATAGAATATTTTCAGAAGTTATTATTTTTTCAGTGTATAATCAGTCATTTTGAGAACCGTTAATTGATTAAAATATTGATTATTAAGCTTATTACAGATATTTTATCAAAATGGGTCAGTGGTCATATACAATTCTTTTTCAAAATTTGAATTGTTTACAAAACTATATTTTATTTTTATAAATGCTTACTCAGGCATTTCGTTCTTTTAGCGCAGCCAAAAAGCCACTATTCAATATCACATCCGCTGCTGCCAGAGAAATTACTAATAGATTAAAAGCCGACTTCGAAAATAAAATGTTTCGTGTCAATTTAAAGTATGGCGGACCTGCTGGCTTAATTTACGATTTTGGATTTGATTCAAAGGCAAAATCCAACGATAATGTTTTCGTCAAAGATGGCGCAAAAGTAGTTTTGGATAATAACGCTATGGATTACCTCAAAAACTCAACTCTTGACTTCGCTAGCGATTCTAACTCATCTTCCTTTAAGATTGTCCTTCCTACAAAACCTAATGTTCATTGGTGCACTTGTGGCAATCGTTCCGATAAAGTTGAGTGCACATGCTTCTTCGCCGGTTTACCAAACTAATGAAAATATACTGTTTTGAATAAAAAATATACTATTTTCTCATACGATTTTTTTTTATTTAAAAACGAGGCTGTCATATGCTAATATTAACATCAACTAAACATTTTAAAGTCAATACATTATAAATACCATCTGACAACATATGATTTGATTTGGCAAATTAAATAGGTTATTTGTGATGTTATTTGAGAATATTTAAAAGTAACATCATTTAGATGAACAATTATATGATTTATTTTAATAGTTCTCTGAAAATAAAATCAATCATTTAAGGGTCCACTGTAAAAATTGAAAGTCTCTCAAAATTGAGAGGCGATTTGCAAATAATCGTTATCGTCATTTTTCGAAAATCCACTTTTCCTAGTGTTCTGATTAATATTATGTGAATAAAACAATGAAGCATATGTTTCAATAAGATGGTAATATATTCTATCACTTCAAATCTCATAAAAATTGCAAAATCAGTGAGTTTTATAAGAACATGATTTTTTCAAATTTTTTCGCTTTTGGATGCGTGTTTTGAAAAATAGATATTTTCGAATTTTAATTTTATCTTAAGTATAAGTTTTATATTAGGAATTTTTTTGACCTATTTCCAATCATTAATTCCAATGTTTTTCAAGTAATTTAATTGAGAAGAAATTAGGAATTTCGCTTTAATGCCATTACAAACTAATATTATGATGCATAATATATATATTTATTGAGGCTAATGCCGGGATATCTTGCATTTAAAAAAAATTCAAAGAATTGACAATTGGATAGCACAAATTTAATTCCCTGGACAAAGTATTATTGTTTATATATTCAAACCATTATCCTTAGTTTAGATATGTTGGCCAAAAATTTTCGTGTTATTTTTTGTGTTTAAGCATAAATTATGTATTTACTTATGAAAAATAAGCATTTTATTCATTATCATAAAGATATACCATAACAATTGATAAATTTTTTTTAAAAAAATTGTGTATTTTAGTGGGTATTATTCTGGATAATGCCAATTTTTACAAGATTTAATATTAACCATATCAATAGCCGACTCAATGTAAAAATTTAGATATTATTTTTTCATTAATCAAACTTTGATAAATTTTAGTATAATGAACGATTTTGTTTCGTGTATGATACAGAAATGAAAAGCTTAATTAATATCATTTTGCATTTTTTAAAGGATGTTAGAGTACATCTACATTAAAAAATCAGATTTGAACTGCGATACTGCATCAAATTGATGCATATCTGATAAGGATCTCAAAAGAGTAAAGTTAATTTTTTTGTGTTTTTTTAAGTTTTGGGCCTTAGTAAAACACCATCTCGAGCAATATTTTTGGGACGACGATAGACCTTATTTGGCCTTACAGTGGACCCTTAACTTAAATAAATTAGAAGAGTTCTTTGATTATAAATGCAATTAACATTTAATACAGATCACCATATTTTTGCAAAATAGAATATTCGGAAACAAATGAATTTCGATTTGCAATGAGGGGTCAAAATCGTAAGTAAATATATCGACTAGGCAATAAAAATATTATATTTATTATCAGTAACAATTTGGCTAACCATAGAAAGAAATCTCATCAAAAGTTTTTTTTAAATCAAAAATACAATAATTAATGTTATTGTAATATTATCCGATGATCCAATATAAAAATTTGAAAGTACTCAGAAAGTGATAAACCCATACATTGAAACAAATATGTTGGAAAACATCTTTACATTGAAATATTGCGAACATGGTCGAACGAATTAAATTCAGTATATTGAAATTTTTGATATGGGTATCATTGAAATTATCCTATCGTTTTACGCCAGGCTTATAAAATTATCCGAATTACGTACAAATTAATTCCATAACGGATACCATTGAGAGTTAATCAAAAAGTCTAACGAGAATGCGGTATGAAAATTTGAAAACACACACTCAATTGATTCAAATTTGATTTTATTCTAAACTTTTATAAATTTCACTAACATTGATAGGAAATTCCATATTCCGTATTAAAATACAATGAATTTCTTCTCAAAAATATTTCCCAAATTTCATTTATTGTCTTTTAATGTTTATTAAAATTTCCAATTATTTTGGCTGGAAAAATTTTCAATACATTATAGATTGAATCCTGCACATTACCAATTAATTTCATAATATTTCGCTATAAACATATGCAATACATATTTGATCAATTTGATTTCATTTTTTCAGAACCAATTCAAATTTGGATTTCAAAATACTTAATTCAAAACTACTTTTCAAAGGACATTATTTTATTATTATGGAAGAAGTCTCTAGTACTAGTTCTCTTCCAGACTCATCATTCCAGTCCTCCATTGACAACAAGATTGAAAAGCTCTTAGATATTCCTTTCCACACAAAAGTTGCAAACAATCTCAAGTCATTATATAGTTTTGATAGAGAATGAGTTTTCTCTATCATATAGTTACAATTCTAAGATTCTTCCAGCTAGTTGGCGTCTCTTTAATGGCAACAAACGAAAATATTTTTACTCCCGGTACTTTGACATATAGAACTATAGGAATTATATCAATGTTTTACAATTACATCCCATTACAAAAGGTTCATGACTATGAAGAATTCATTTTAATGGGAATCGTAATTTTCTTACTCATCTTTGTTTTGTACTTAATTGTTACTGCTTTCCATTATAAGAAGACATCTAAAGTATCCAAAGCAAACACAATAATCTTATCAATCTTCATTGCAATTTGCCCATTCTTGTTCATGCCAGTTGTTTCGCAGTTCGTTGGTGAAATCATTTCAAATATGGTCTCAAAAGTACATCCAATAACACGCTTATCTTTAATTGCCATTGAAGTTTCTATCTTCACCATTGGAATTTATTTCTGGTTGATGATTGCTACTTATTCAACAAGTCTTGCTTTCAGACCAATCAGTTTCCCAACCTTGGAAGGTTCTGCACAAAACAGGTTATATGTTTGCACAACTGTTATTTCATTTTTATGTGCATTCCCAGCACATATCGATAAATACGGTGCTGCAGTTATAATTATAATATCAATCTTTGTTTACTGCTACTTAATCACAACATTGTTCAATTGTGGAACATATATTAACTTACATCAACAAACATTAGTTTTAGGTGGTTCAATGTTAAGTATCATTATTTGTGCAGTAAACTTATATCCATTAGTAATGGAGTACCAATGGAATGAAATCTTCTTTGTTGTTTTCTTTGGTTCTGCTTTAGTTTGTTTCCTTGTTTCTAATTTCATCATCAAAGCAAGAGCAAGAAAGGATCTTAGACTATTAGATGAAATAGAATCATTGAATAATCTTGATAACATTAAAAGCAAAGGCAAGTTCAAAAAGTTGTTAATATCTGGATTCAATATGTGTCATCCTGCTTGTTTGAATTTCTCAATATTCAAGTTAGCAATTCAAAAATAGAATGATGCCCCAGATATTTGGGCTGTTTATGCAAAGTATGCTGCTATTTATCCAGAATTAGATTCAACATTATTGTTTATCAATCAAAATGTTGAAATGATTAAGACAAAATCTTCATTAGTTCACACAATTAAATCATCCATTGAAAGTATTGTTTCAACAAGAGAATCTAAATTCACTCCTCAAGTAAAGAGCAAATTATCTAAGGTTGCAAAGCATATGACAAAAACAAAGAATAGATTAAGAAACATTTGGGACTTAATATTACAAGGTGCTTCAAATCAAATGGACAATTCAATACAATCAGCATATAAAAGTATTGTCAAATGTGAAAGCGACATGAATCATTTGCTTACATTATATCCAAACAACAGATTTACAGTAAGACAATATGCAAAGTTCCTTCTCGAAGTTAAATGTGATGTTATGTCATACAAGAAATGCATGGATGACGTTGGAAGATTACAAAGAGGAATGAGAATATCTCCAGATGTTGTTCATGAATTAGGAATCAATGCTTTTCCAACATTACCTGATAATTCAATTGAGATCCAAGAAATGTCTATCAAGAGTACAACACTCAAACAGAGAACGAAATGAATGACGAAAACTCTTTTGATGATGAAACGAATCTTTCTGAGATCAATTCTTTGAACAAACAAATTGTTAACCATAAAATCCCAGCAATTAGATTCATTTACATATCAACAATATTGATGTTCATCTTTTTGTTCTTAGTTCCTTGCATTTGCTTCATTGTATTTTATTTTGTTTATGCACAAGAGCTCAAAAATCCAATTAATTACATGCAAGGAATTGCATTCACAAGAAACTTAGTCAGCATGTTACCTGCTTGGGTTGGCAAATTATTGTTATTTGAGATCGAAAATCCAGATGATCCAGAAGCAGGTTTCCTCAAAGATGCAAATTATGTTGACGGATTTACGTTCATTAGTTATGGAAATAACACTGATGTCAGATCAATCATCCAATACTTATGCATGAGGGTTGCTAATGCAGTTGCAATCATGAGCCCATTGAGACACTTCAAGTTTGGAAACAAATTCATTGAAAATGTTCGCAGTAACATTTTCGGAAGAACAAATTATTTCTATACATTCATTGACAACAACACATACGATAAAAGTCCAGCTGCTTCAATCCAAGTTGCTTATATGATGGCTAGTAATATCGGTAAACTTTTGGAATATGAAAGAATGACAATCGAAATTGCAAGAGGTCCAGAATCATTGAATTCAAGAAACAATAACAATATTATAACAAGTCAATTAACTAATGCAATTATCAATGGTTGATTTCATTCAAGATGAGTACTTCAAATTCCAGAAGATATTTATTATTACTCTTCTCACAATTTGTGCTCTTAACATTGTTTCATATTTCGTCCTCTTCATAATCCAATACAAGAGATTACAACACAACAAGAGAGAAGTTTTCAAAATCTTCATGGATCTTCCGAAGACAGTTGTTTCATCAGTTTCCCAATCATTTAATTCATTGAAAGATGGAGAAAAAGAAAACAAAAATTCATCAAATGGTGACAATGAATTAACAAGACAAGAAGAATCAATTATCAAACTATTTTCATCAATCTCAGATAATGTTGCATCAAATTCTCAAATGATTAATATGATATTCTTTATTATTATTGTTGCACTCAGTTTAGTATGTTTCTATATGATTTATACTTATTACAAAGTTGCATCCAATAAGGTATTTTATGATTGCAATCATATCAATTATCTTTATGGATCAATCACATTCCTTTACTCAATCTGCGCAAGATTGTGGAAAGTTGTTTTAGATAAAGCACATCCATCATTCACAGGAACTATTGTTAACATCACTGATGAAGTTATCAACATTAGAAATATTATTACGTATCAATCCACATATTTCAATAGTTTCAATCTTGGTACTTCAGATGTTAATGAAGTTCCGTTCAGTGGAAACAACCAAGCAATTAAAGAAGCAAATGAATTGTTGAAATGTGATGATTATATTACACCACCACAAACAATTCCAGACAGTTTACATTGTCTCTCAGCAACACATCAATTGTATTATACAACAGCTAAATTGAAGAAAATCACATTGAATATGATGTCTGATCCTTCAATTTGGCCAAGAACTCGTGGTGATGGAATTAATGATATTTGGCAAGTTGGCCCAGTAGAAATGTATGAAGCATATTTCTATCCAACAGGTGTTAAACTTATTCCATCAATGATTAAAAACATTGATAATCAAGGCTACAATATCATCAATATTTCATGCATTTTTGCAGTTTTGATTTTGATATTTATGATATCGATATTGATCTCTACTAGAATTGAAGAAGTTTTCATCAAATTTGCATTATCACAGTTATTAAGATGCCCAGCTTCAACAATATTGAACAACAAGAAGATTGTTGATTTGTTGAGTGGTGTTTATTCAGATGAAGACACAGAACACGCTGAGAAACACGTCAACTTCTCAAATCAAGTTGTAAACAAACTTGATGATGTTGTTATTGTAACTCAAGATGAAACAGGAATCATCTTGAGTGTTAACAACTCATTCTTTAATATGTTTTCAATGAACGAATCACATATCGAACATAAGTTGAATATTCGTGATTTCTTTATTGAAAGATTCGGAGAAGCAGAAAGCAACAAAATCTACACACAGACAGCAACTGTTATTTACACAAAGAAAGATGGATCTAAAGTCTATTTAGAGTTTTCATCCAATCTTGTTTCAGGAAACAGAATTTACTTTGCTCGTGATCAAACACAAAATGTTTTACACGAAAAATTAATTGAAGATGAGAAGAAAAAATCAGATGCAATGTTGGCATCTATTCTTCCACCAATGTTAGTATCAAGAGTTCAATCAGGAGAAAAGAACATTTCATTCTCAGTTCAATCTGTTACAGTCTTATTCTTAGATGTTGTCGAATTCACACCATGGTGTGGATCTCAGATGCACAATATGTCATGAGAATGTTGAATATTATGTTCAAAGAATTTGACTCAATCACAAATGCGCACAAGACAATGACAAAGATCAAATGCATTGGTGATTGTTACATGGCAGCTGGAGGAATCTTTGATGAAGTTAATCAGCCATCAATCCATGCAAAAGAAGTTGTTGACTTTGGATGTCAAGTAATTAAGAAACTCGTTGAAATTGATGAACGTGAGAACGAGAAACTTCGAATCCGTGTTGGTGTCAACACAGGTGGTCCAATTGTTGCAGGTGTAATTGGCACTGAGAAACCAACATTCGAAATCCTTGGCCCAGCGATCAACACTGCACATGAGATGGAACATCATGGTGTTCCAATGAAAGTTCATATTTCAAGACCAGTTTATGAATTAATCTATGGTCAACAATTTGACATAAAAGAACGCGGTGAAATTGATGTTAAAGGCGGAAAAATGTTCACATATCTTGTTGAACCATAATTTTTCTTTTATATTTATGTTAGTAAAATTGTATTTATAAAACTTAACCCATGTTTATATAAACATTACTTCGAGCATTTCTTGCAAAAATAATGTTCACAAACAAATAAAAAAGTGCTTTTTACAATAATTTAATTACATATTAATACCAGATTATCTTTATTCCAATTCAAAATAATATATTTGATAATGATCTTATTTTGAAATGAGAGAAGTAAGATATATTATCAAACTCAAGTTATAAATTTGTTTATAATTAATTTTAATTTCAACCTTTTCTTTTGATTTAGACTTTCCTTCATCTAGAAATTCGAGTTTCAGTTCTGCATAGCATTTGTAAGAAGATAAATGACGATTTCCTGGATACATTGAATTTGCGTTCTCAATTATTGAGACAGATCCAGTTGTACTTGGATCAGGCATGTCTATGTAACATCCTTTAATTTGAATCATCCTGTTTGCATCCATAAACTTGCCTTTTATTAAATTTCTAGAAAAACTGCAATTGTATACGTAAAGATCAAATATACTGGATATAAACCAATAACATTCATTTTCAACGTAATTGCAAAAAAGAATTTTAAATTCAAATGAATCATAATATGAAGAATAAAGAGCTTCAAAATTTCCAGTATGTTTTGACGTATTATTTGAAAATGTTGAAAATGTTACGTTTGAATTAGATAAATAATAAACGCTGTAAAAATTTCTGAAAAAAAGTTTGGAAAATGAAATATTGTTCGATTTCATATTTATTTCACCATGACTCAAATCAACGTTAATTTGTCCTAGTTTGTTTTCATCGCCGCTTGAATAAATTGTGGAATCAAGGAGATAATTTTTAAATGGAGGAGTTTTTGAAACTATGACATAACAATGTGCACCATAACTTGGCGTGTTAGAGCCAGAGCTGCATATTCGGTCTTGAATGCACTCGCAGTTAGTAGAATTTATGAATAAAGAGCCACCATCGGCGCTCTTATGTTCACATTTGTCAAACGAGCTTACGTCAATGAGGAATTTAAGATTGCTGTTTGTTGTGTCTGAGATTCGAACAGCGCCTGCCTGATTAAGATAGATAAAGAGACAGCGAGAAATGTAATAGCTTCTTGATGAGCTAAGTTCGAGTCTTTTGCTTTCGTTTGTGTATAATTTGTGTTCAATCGAAGATTTGAAGAAATCTTCCCATTCTTCATGGGAATTAGAGAACAACATATATAGAGTATGAATCTATGAATTGTGTTAGGGATCATTTCCATCATATTTTCATTGTTCGATATTAAAAATCTGGAGTTATAATGATTCTTTTATGTTCTGACAAAATTTTAGGAAATTTCACAATCAGGCTAAGTGGATATTCCACAATGATCCACTGGATAATATACACATTGACTTGAGGTATTATTGTTTGCAAATAAAAAACTTCGACCCATCAACCCTAAATTGCTATCAAAGAAGTATTCTCACATTCCATATGATAGTGCGCACAACTTTCTGACATTCTCTCGATTTTTTTGACATTCTAACTTGCAAAATAGCTTTCGCCGCCCCAAAAACTGCCTATTCCTTTTTGATTTACTATTTAATATGTGCATGCAATACTAAGTCATAATATGATATCAGATCTTCAAAAAATATGATTGAATACTTGACGAATTTTCAATGAGTCGCATCAAAAATTGAATTCCATTCAATTTCCGACATATGATGGGAACATCTTTTGTCAAAAAAGTCACCGCTATAGTTTACAAAAATATACGTTATTTAGACCCCGAAACAGTGAAAAGATAGAGTATGATCAATGTATGCTAAATTTACGTTTATTCATAAAAGTATCAATTCTATCATAGAGAAAAAGTACATTTAAGTGCAAAAAATTGAATAGTTATAAACTAAGGCAGTGAGCCCTTAAGAAAATTGTAATACAAACAAAAATTTTTATTTAAATTAAAGACAATCTGCTTGTCTAAGCATAGAATCGACAGAAAGTTTGAGATCTTTAACGACCTTTGTTAGAATTTGTATCTTTGGATGTTTGTGGTCAATAATTGATGTCAACTTAGACAAATTAACATTGATTTCGTTTTTCCACATGTTTACTATTCTCAGTATTCCATTGTCAGTGATAACTGTTGAATATGCATGTGACCATGCTAAAACTGTTCTCGATTCAATGATCAAATCAAGAATTTCTTTGATCTGAGCTTTTGCTGTGTTTTGATCTATTGATTCATTACTAAAAACATTCTCTAGATTCTCTTTAGATGCATCATGAAGTAAACGATCAACATCTATATCTTGAAGAGTAGCAATAAACGCCTCTTCCGACTCTTTAAGTTCTTCTTCGCCAATAGTATTATTCTTAGTTTTCTTGTTACTTTCCCATGTGTCCATGCAATCATATGGATTTCCTTCGTGATCACCCCATAGTTTGCCGCATTGCCAACAGAAATCACTGTCGCAGTTTGAGCAGTGCATGTGTATACAGCCACCATTCTTCTCAATACGAACTCCACAAACAGGACATGGTTTCGTTGATCGTTTAATTATCAAGTTTTCTGCTAATCTGTCTTTCTTCGATAACCATTCATCAACGTACTTGCAGGGAAGAGGAGAATGACCTTCTTTACCACACTCGAAACATGTGTAGTAGCCACAACTACAAACGGCCATCTTTCCTTTGAAAATGTGGGACATACTGACTAAAAGATTGCATTTAGGATTGATACAACGACGGACTGTCTTAGACATACTTGCGGAGAGTGATGAGATACGTTCTTCAAGCTTTTTGGCTGTCTTCTCGCCACAAATGAACAAAACATCTGTAATTAAGAGTGGACATCTACAACCGGGTTCCATGCAATGTATGAAGAGATTGCCGCTGTTCATCTGTGTTTCAATGTGTGCTTTCCAGCATTTCTTGCAAAAATAATGTTCACAAGCAAGCGAAAACATGTTTTTACCTATTACTTCGGATGAACAAACATTACATGTTGTTCTGCCTTTGTTTGTACTTTTGTGTAATCCTAAGTTTTGATGACTTTGTTCTTCTGTGATTCCGATTTTTTCTAAAAACTTTTGTCTATTTTCTGAAAACTCTAGTATCAGATTATCTTCATTCCAATTCGCATATTGTAAGCATGCAAGAGCCACGTCAGGGTGAATATTTAGAACATTTGCCGCATTTTGTGCTTTTGTTTTAAGTTTTGAAAAGAAAACTTCATCAGTTTGATACGAGTCTTGTCTTTTTATGAATTTTGGCTTCTGGTCTCTTGAAAGATGGAAAATAAGAAGAGGATCCTGAGTCATTTTTTTCTTCCTTCGATCAAAAGATGTTTTCTAAATTTTAAAATCTAATGCAATAAATAATTATAATTTTTGATTTAAAACAGATTATCCCGATCGAACATGGAGCTATTTGAAGAATTTATCAAATCAATTTTTAAAAAATGAAATCTATGATATAATTACCACAAATATCATTATACATTTACAAGTGAAATATAAATCTGATGGCGATATTTACCTATATTGATTAGATTTTATGAAATTTCTTATTCCAATCATTATAGATTAATTACAGAATTTTAGGCCTTTTGGGAACTAGGAAAGAGTAGTAATAGTACTTTAAGGCAATGAGATTGTTCTGTTTTGGGGAATTTTTTTGATCTGACATTGTAAACTTTACAAATGTCAGATTTTCAATTTTGCTCTGCTCTCCATCAAAGAATCAGTATATTTAAGGATTTGGTTCACTACTTGATAGAAAAATTAGATTTTTATGTATAAAAACTAAAAAATAAACTTTTATTCGGATAAAATCAAAATAATTTCAGAAAACAATTAAATCTGGAGAACGAGTAATAATATTATTGATGTAGTCTATAACCTCATCAATAATGATTGGTCCTTCGTCTTTTCTTAACATCGCGTGCTCTGCATTTTCGTGGAAGACAATTTTGACACGACCACCCATGTAGTCACGAATTTCGTCGATCCACTCGTAGTTTACGGACTTTCCAACGGAATTATCTAATCCTCCTTGCATAAAAAGAAGAGGTAATCGCAGCGGCCATTTCTTGTATTGCTGTCTGCAGATTTCTTGCATTTCGCTTGCAGAAGCGAATAATCTTGGTGTAATGTAATCGTGGGGTAAATTACTGTCTAAAAACTTTTGAATGAACTGCTTTGGATATGTTGATGTATCAAAATCATTTCCTGTGTCAATAACGAGAGATGGGAAGATATATCTTCCCAATTTACTTAAAATCTTATGAGGTAATGAATTTGCGACCTTTTCATGAGTAGCTATCCATGGTGCTTCGACAATAATACCTTCAATCCAGTTTTCTTCTATTGGATGTGTAAGAACATACGATAAAATTGCAACTCCGCCCATAGAGTGTCCGTAAACGAATATTGGAATGTCAGGAAAGATAACACGAGCTCTCTTAAGAAGTAAAGTAATTTCAGCGTGAAGCATTTCCCTTGTATTGTTACCTCTATCGCCTGGAGACCTTCCGTGTCCAAAGTGATCAGTACCGAAAATGGCACCACCATCTGCTATGATTTTCGGCCAAAAAGGTCTATTAATTGTAACAAAAGCTCCAAGTCCATGGAAAAATATCAGAACGTATCTGACAATTCCATTCTTTGGAATCCATTGACATCCAACTAATTCCTTTCCGTCAAGCATTGTTGTGAAGTTTTCTCCATCATAATCAAAAATATAATCTTGTTTTTCAGTCTCCATTTTTATAAAAAAATTGAATGCTTTACGATCATTACGATATAAAATTTTTGACATTTTATAATTTAAAAATAGAATGTTTTTCTATTATTGATCAATTTCATGAATGATTGAAATAATGGATCTATTAGTTTCAATCAAAAGATTCATTTATTTCACTTATTGCACTCTTTTTCACATAAAGGATGGAAAGATTTCTTCGACCCTTCAATTGTATACCTATCATTCACAAATACAAGCGAAAATATCAATGAAAACACAGAAAATAGCTATTATGTATCTCGTTGTTTCTTTATTTATCTTAATTCGACAGGAGCAATCCGCATTACAGATGAAACGACAAATTCCCTTAAATTTCTCATTGAAACTAGCTCGTTTGATAAGTGCGGGTATCCAACCGAAGAAGGAGGCTCTTTATACATAAATTCAAAGAAGGGAGAATGTATTCAAGAAAGAATCTGTAGCTTTGGTTCTCTATCACAAAACAAAGGCACATATTGCAAAGTCACTGTATCAAATATAGATCCATATAAGAATTATATTTTGGACTCGACAATAACCTCAAATGGAGATGAAAACAACGTTGGAACTCGAAACATATATTTATATAATGGCGATACTCTACTAAAATCAATAAATGTTTCATATTCAAAATTATATTATCGAAATTTTTATGAAGTATATTGTTTTACTAACTCAAACGTATCATTTTCGACATTTTCAAATACAACATCAATCGAAAGAGGTTCTTCTCAATCATACCATACAGGACCAAAAAGTTTGCTTGAATTTAAGATACTTTTTTGCAACTACATTAGAAATGACTGTTGTTGCTTTAGTAACAGTGATTATAATACATATTTTATTAATTGCAGTTTTTTTGAAAATATTATTAGAATTAGAAATTTTAGAGTAGAAAACAGCAAGCTAACTTTAGTTAAAGAATGTTATATCGATCATCTTGGTGGATTTACAGAAGGAAATATTCAGATAACAGAGAATGCAAGTTTTATTTATCCAGTAAATAAACATTTATCTTCTGCTATGTGTTTTGCAGAACAAAAACTTGAATTTTCAGAAGATAACGAGGCAAAAACGGCAGAAAATGAAGAAAATTTTATTTATTTCAAAGGAAACAATAAAGTTTTAGCATTGGTATGTCTTTTCCCGCAAAATTACTAAAAGTAAATTGAATTTCATCTATTTTTTTTTTTTGATATTATTCCCTTTGTATATTTGAATAAGTAAAAGTAAGAATATTCTCTTACATATGTAAATGCCCGAGATACAAATTTGTCTTGACTTATTTTTGATAACATAAATTCCTTGTTTTTCCTGATTTCGGTTTTTTTCGTAGGGATTCCATAAATTTCTTACCATGAATTGATGTGGTAACTACTTCGTTGTATTGTTATAATACTAAAAAAGTGATATTTTTGAGGGTCCCTTAATCTTTTGACACTTTACATGTACATTTAAAATTTTGTGAAGTTCTACAGTCGCTCAGGCATCCGAAAGTTTCATAAAATTTGGATTATGTGAACAATGATTATTTTTGCTTCTAATGCAAATTTACATTTGAATCAAAAATAATCATGTTCACATAATTTTAATTTCCTTACTCCGAAATTGCAACATTTCAATTCTATATCAAATGGAAAATGATATTAGAGCTTAGCAGGTTCATCACTTACGTTTATATCAACCCATCAATCACAAAAGCTGGGAAGATTTCTTCAGTTCTTCAATCAAATATACTTCTTACAAAAATAGCCACGAAGAACTCTATGATACTACATCAAAAAGCTATTACGTATCTCGCTGTCTCTTTATTTGCCTTAATTCTTCAAGTGCAGTTCGCATCACGACAACAGCAACGACTCCTCTCAAATTTCTCGCAGACACTACCATATTTTATAAATGTGGTCATCAAAGCCTTGAAGGAGGCTCCCTATACTTGAATGCAGAAAAAGGTGAGTGTATTCAAGACAGAATCTGCAGTTTTAACTCTATATCACCAAACCAAGGTACATACTGTATGTCTGTCGTATCAACAACATCACCATTTAAGAATTACCTTATTGATTCATCGATTTCGTCGAATTTCGATGAAAAAAGCACAGGAAACACTAACATATATTTGTACAACGGTGAAATACGTATAAAGGCAATTAATATTTCATACTCTAAGCTAAAATACAGAAATTTTTACGAAGTCTATTTTAATTCCAACTCTAACTCAACTTTTTCATCATTTTATAACAGTTAATCTACAGCTGTTAACTATTTATAGGAAGCTTGGCATTCTGGGCCATCTGAATCGCTTCTTTTTGACATATTTTTTTGTAATTTCTTTGATTGTAGCTGTAATTACTTTATCGGCAGTGAATATAGTATGAATTTCTTTAATTGCAGTTTCTTTCGAAATTCTGTTAATATTTGGTATTTTGGTTTAAATAAAGGAAAATATCTTCTTAAAGGGTGTTATTTAGACATTGTTGACCCTGGAAGTTATGGTACTGTAATAATAACAGAGAATACAAGCTTGATTTACCATGAAAATCATAATAAAACTTCGGATTCTTGTTTATCTAAATTTAAATATGAACCAACAAGTAACGAAGGACAAGACGATGCAATGTTAGTCAATAATAGACGGCATAATAATATGAACATGACGATTTTTCTTGCTTCTTTTATTTCTTCATAAAATTCTTTCAATATTTTGAAAATACTTTTTAAACTTCATATTAACATGATGCAAATATTGATTTAATAAATAGAAAAGATTAAAGTTATGATTTTTAATGATTTTCTGATTTGGAAAAGGTGACCAAACTATTTTTTGAAAGTCCGCCATATCTTTAATGGTACTATTTCAGCGTGTACAATGAATACAAAAATTCTAAGAGTGCCACATAAAATAGTACTTTAGACTTGAGTTAATGCTACCAAGCAAATGTTAAAAAGATGACTTTAGTGTTTTGATAATCAAAGATTAAAATCATTATTGTCTAAATCAATAATCATAACGACAGAAGTTAATGTTTTTTCATCAGTGCTTTAAATCCACTTTTAAAAGTATACCTCAAAAATCAAAATATCAAAAAAAAATTGGCCGATAGGTTTGGCTTTAATTTTTGTCTGCTTTTATGATTTGATATGGATGTTATAATTTTAAAAGTTGAGCCAAATTCACCAATAGATTTTTGAGATTTGCAAATACTCAATAATTTTCAGAGTGTTATCTTTTATTAAAAGAACTATTTGGTTTCAGTATCATATAAATTGATATTTACTTTCTATTTGAACCTTCATTTAGCTAATGATTTAATAATACAGATTTCATCTAGTCCTTATAAGAGAATTTTGAATTTGTTATAATAAAAAACAAACATATATAGCTTACACTTCTATAATAAAGATACCTTTTATAGAAATCAGTATGAAATGTGTTTTGGCTTATTGGAAGCATATCAGACATAATCGCCATAATCAAAAAATCTATATACCCAATAAGTAATAAATTTGTCGATATAGATTTTCCATAAAATTAGTTTTTAGTCTGATCTTAAAATAAATTTAATTTTTTATAAAAAAAATCACATTTAAAAGTACCTTTTTAGTAGCTCGAAATCCTGTTGGTGGATTTCGGGCGTACTTCAAAATTAGCTTTTCTTCTACATATGCAAGCTATATTTTAAATATGGGGCAAATCGGATCGGCGAAAGGAGTTTAGTTACCTTTGATTTGGAAGATTCATCCTTGTAGGACTCAGAATCATATGAGAATACTGTGAGTAAAGACATTAAAATATTGGTTTGTTTGAATATTTCCAATAAATATTGAAAACCTTTTGATTTAGGTAAAATCAGTATATTAAAACATGATAAAGATTGAATTGATGATGCCAAACATTATCATATTCATCCACCAGATATATTTCTCCCTATTTCTCATAATGACTGGGAAGATTTCTTCGAATCTTCAATCAATTACACTCATTTTGAAAAGAAATCAGAAATTCTCAATGTTAGAACAGAAGGAAGTTACTACATCTCTTTTTGTTTCTTTATTTCTCTTAACGAAGAAGGTGCTGTTCATATCACAGATAATACCCAAAACAGTCTTAAATTCCTCATTGACACAAGTTTATTTGATAAATGTGAGCATAAGAGCGAAGATGGTGGCTCTTTATACATAGAATCCCTCAAAGGGGAGTGTATTCAAAATAGAATCTGCAGTTTTGGCTCCATAGTAGCACAATATAATGTTGGTGCTTATTGTTATCTTCAAATTTCAAGAAACCCTCCATTTAAAAATTATATCCTTGATTCAACAATTTCATCAAGTGGAAATGGAACCCCATATGCAGATACTAATATTCATTTGCACTATGGTGAAGTAGTTATGAAATCAATTAATATTTCATATTCAAAACTTTCCCAGAGAAATTTCTATTATGCTTATACTCATGCAGACTCAAATTTAACTCATTCAACATTTTCAAATAATACAACTTTATCTCCATATAACAATGAAGCATATCATACCGGATCATCTTATACACATAAATTTAGAATTCTGTTTTGTAACTACATTGCAAATAAATGCAATTGTTTGATTTACAATGGATATATTCTCCATTTAATTAATTGCAGTTTTAGCGAAAATAATATTGAAGAATTATATTTCGAATCAGGTTATGACAGCCATTTGACAGTTATAGGCTGTAATTTTGACACATCAAATCCTAGTACAGAAGGAGATGTCATAATAACAGAGAATGCAAATTCAAATTATCCAAAAAATCGTCATTTATCATCTAGTTTATGTGAAGCAGATCTGAAACTCGAATTTCCAGATGACAATGAGATAAAGACTAAAATAAAGGAAATAGAAGAAATTAAAATTAGCTATAAACAAAATAATAATTTCAATATCTTCGTTTGGCTTGTTTTTCTTGTTTCTAAATAAACCTAATATTTTAAGTGTGTCATGCATAAAGCGTGATCGTAAATATTAATGCAGTCAATTATTGATTTGACAAATTTGGAGAAATGCCGAATAAAAAACGTCACTTTTTCATTTAATGTCAAGACATTGTTTCTTAACTGACATTCGTAGCTAATCAAGTTTAATTACTTTCGTGGCTCATATCAAGCAAGAAGTATAATACTTGGTACGCATTTTGATCTTTGTAAATCAAGCAACGTTTCTTATTTTCCAATTTTTATTCTTTCCTATTAAATTGCGTTTACAAATCAAAGTATTGTCAATCATTTCAAAATTAATATCGCATCTTTATTTATCATCGAAAATACAAATAACCAAGCGATGTCAATTACAATTTTTTTTCAGTTATTCATTGACCAAAAAAATTAAAAATTCAGGGGCAGGCCGGAATCGAACCGACTACCCAGGGATCTGCAATCCCTTGCTCTACCGGTGAGCTACTACCCCAATTACATAAGCTTTCTTTATAAAGATTTCTAGAAAAGTTATAATTTCAAAAACAATTTAATCGAATTAATAAAAAGTTATTGTTTTTACCATTAAATTACGATCCTATTAATTTTTAAATACATTAGATGACATTGTACTATTTGATTGATTATATAATATAATAAATATAATAATTTTTTTTTTCTCAAAATTGATTATGTTTAAACCTATTAAATTATTAAAGTATAACATTATGTTTAGTTTTATAAACAATTCATACACCAAAACATTCTCGAAGACAATGAATAACCAAATATTTCGAAATTTTGCAAAAATCCCAGATTTTTCTTTTTCTTATATACTTTCCTATTCATTTTGAAATGTATTTTTGAACTACTTAGGATATTCTGCGATAATGAGATTGATGATAAGAAATTGAGATTAATTTCATAAATTTTCATAGAAGAATCAATCCTTAATCAGAAATCATCTATGTAAATGAAGCAGACACTATCAAATCCGAAGAACAAACATATCGCTCATCTGGAAAATGAAAATGTATTTCTCGTTATTTGTCACTTTTTGAGCAAAAAAAAATTTACATTCGAATGTCTCAAACAATGAACAGCCGGCCTCCACCTGTAATAGTTGAAGAAGAGAGACCGCAAACATTTTCTAAAACACAAAGATACGATAGAACTCATTTGGAAGCTCCTAAACCCATTCCTAAACCAAGAGATGAAAAATTTTTTGTTGCCTCACAGATAAATCAGCGTGAACTGGACAGTTCTAGCTATAGATTATCTCGTGTTCCACAAAAATTCACCTCAACCAAAATGAATAAAGGAATTCCTCCACAAAGTTTTGTAGATCAATATTATTCGAATAATCCGAATGCTCAAGTAGATACACGCACTCCAAAAGAAAAACTAGAAGATCTTAAAGCAAAATTAGGTGAAGAAAACGAAGAATCAGATCCACAAGAAAAATTAGATTTAATAGTTCAGCAAAAAACACTATCTTCACTTGTTTACGGTGAAACTTCCGTCGAAACAATAAGATCACTGATAGCTATGGGTGCTTTTTACAACACACAATATTTACCTGAAAGTGCAATGCGACATTTGAAGAAAGCAAAGGGAATCACGGGTTCAGTACAAACAGAAGATAAAGACTTACTCAGGCTTCATGTAGAAATCACAGATTCTAAGATGCAAACCCCTTCAAACACTCCAAAACAAAAATTATACTCATCTTTCGAAAAAATACTTTCACCATATAAGGAAACGATCACAGAAGACAAGAAACTCGCTTACAGACGTAATTTATACATGGCCGAGATTTATTATTACCAAAATAAATTTGAAGAAGCAATTCCTTTCTACGAATCAGCTTCCGAAGGCTTTTCAGAAGCAAACACCAAGAAGGAACAGAAACCACAGCTCGCAACCCTTCTTATTCACGAAGCTGAGTGTTATCACGGAATTGAAGACAAAAACAAAGAAAAAGAATCCTATGAAAAGGCAATTGATGTATACAAAGAGTTAGAAATGAAATACGATGTTGATAAGTACCAGAAAATCGTTGACGAACTTCAGAAACAGATAGAAGAAGAAGAAAAACAAAAAGAAGAAGAAGAGAAAGAAAAACATGAAGAAGAAGAACAAAAACAAGAAGAAACACCAAAAGAAACTCATGTAGTAATAGAAGAACCTGTAAATGAAATTGTTCAAAATATTTCTAACTCTATGAAATGATTTTATGTTTTAGATATGTAAATAAACTTTTATCTTGTTAATTTAATTGGAAAAACTTAGTTTTTTTTATTCCAATAAAAATAATCTTTTTCAAAACTTCAAAAAATGTGTTGAAAATACTTGTTTAGGTAGATGTTTTGATTCTTTTTTTAGAAGGTACCAAAAAGTGCTTGAAATTCATGGAATCAAAGGTAAATCTTTCATTAGCATATATGTAATTATATAAACTCTCCAAAGCTTAGTAGATTTTCATACACTTTAGATATTTGTGAAAGTTTTCAAGTCAAATCCTAAAGTTTCCGTATAACTTATTCGCATTGAGGTCTAATGCCGACCAAAAGGTTAGAATTCGAACCATAGACTTTGTACAAATCATTCACTCATAAAATGGGTGTAAAATGGCCAATGCATCGTAAAAAAATGTGGACTACATGACGATATAAACGGTTTGGTCGAAGGATTCCCTTAATGTCTGAGCTTAGCAAATACAATGAATTGAGAAGTATCTATAAGTATTATATCGATTTATATATTGAGTTGTTTCAACTAAAAACGGAAAATGAAGAGGAATTAAACTCTATTTATAAAAAGATTAAAACAGAATTGATTGATTCAAAGAATCATCTCCCTAGAAATGTTATAAGAGACGTTTTAAATATCATTCCGTATAATAATCGTTATGTAAAGTCATATTTGGTTCTGGCGGAATTAATTTCAAAAGATTATCATATTACAGTGGTCACCAAAATTCCAATTATTTCTAACTACTTGTTTAATAAAGAATATGGAATTAAATTAGACAAATCTCAATATTTTAATGATGATACTTTAGAAAATCTCGATATTCATTCAGAAAATACAATTTACAGAGCAATTATGTATAACGACAAAGAAAGATTTATCCCATTCACGGAAAGAGATGGATTTGATAAAGATCAAAAACTTAAAAGCAAATTATATCCATATTCTGATTTTGGATATTCATTACTTGAATTATGTTGTTAAGGATACCCTTACGTGTCAGATTTTTTGCGCATACGAAGAAGTCATGCTAGACATGAGCTATAAACCTGAAATTTTAGCAACATATTTAAAACTTTTTAAACTACAATACACTTTAATATTCAAGAACAAAAATATTCTTTTTAGAAATTACATAATTATTTTATGTGAAATCTATATAAAAACATATTTTGCGAGCGTAACTTTTTTCTTTATAAGCACCTTATATGACTGATAAACTGTGAAGGCACATAATTGTTAATTCATAGAGTTGATATGTTTCCAAAATTGAGAGGAAATTTGAAAATTGAATACCCTTTCAATTCAATTTTCAAAAGATATCAGCTCCTTCAATAATTGAAGGACGATTTTGATCATTTGCTCTTAAAACAAGTATGCCATGGAGAAAAAAGTTACGCTCGCAAATCTGAAATATAACTATCATATAAAAAAATTAAATTTCTAATTTTTTACTCTATAGATATTATTGGCCACTTGTGTAATGCATAAAAGTTTATGTCATATGCATACATTTGGAAGTATGGGAGACGAGGGAAATTACTTCTATGAGGGACTAGGATTTTTAAAAATTTCTCTATCGGACTCACCATTCAATTTCTCGAAAATTAAAAAAAATCAATAATAGCTAAAATGTATTATGCATAACAAATTTTAATGTTACACGGTATTTTTTGAACTTCATGACATGAATTTTCTTTATATTATTTTTTTTTTGGATTTTCTATGATTTATGCGATAGGCTGGAACAACATTGTAAGCGCAATGATATCATTTATAGAGAAATCTAAAACTTCAGCATTCAGAACTCGCAACCACAAAAATATTCATTTGCTAAGTAAGTAAAGTTGATTAAGTTCGACACTTAGCTTTTATACGTAAAACCAAGTGTGTATTGTTATTTCTTGTTAAATTATTGAGAAAAAAAATAAATTGTAAGAGAAACGATACTGATTATTGAAATAATATTGAGGGTAGCTGCAGATTTCTTCATTAACATGCCGGAAATTTGTTAATCTTGGTTTTCTATCATAAAATCTGTCGAAGAATCTAAAAACGGAGATATGAAATAGAGATCATGTAAATCTAGAGTATCCTGTCAGAAAAATAGACTAAGCATGTAACCCTTTTTTGGTCATAAACACTTTTTACCACTTAGTCATACAGATGATCATTAAATTTAAACGAGCACTTTTTGTCAGAATTTATTCTTTTACAAAGACAGAAGATTTTAGTATTATTTAATATTAGTGCTGTAGCAAAATTCAAAAAACGGTGAAAATTCAGTGAATTTGTGAATTCACATTTTTTTCGACATTTTTCTTGATATATCCATGCACATTAAGAACACAGCTTTGATACGCTTAAAAAAGCATATTTCATATGAAATTGTTAAAGAAATAAACAATTTATATAAAAATTGCACTTATAGGCAGTTTAGATATATAATTTATATATAACATATATACAAATCCATAGACAAAGTGCAATAACTACAATGTTGTAGAAAATTACAGCAGAAATACTGACTTTTTGAAGGATAATAAGAATTCTTCTAAATGTTGTATTTTTATAATTTGATTGATTTTTTTTACTATTTCATTAATCTTTTATGAATAATAATTATTTTTAATATATGTGCTATTAAAATTTCAAATTTTAATAAATATATCTAAGTTATCTGAACGAAACATTTAGAAAATATCATACTTACATTGAAATAGCAAGTAGAGCATATTAATAGCAAGTTTCTTGGCTTTATATCTATCATCTATTGTTGTTTGATCAAACAAAATTCACTCTATTATATGGTGTCAATTAATTAAAACAATTTTTAATAGTTATTTATTTAGTGCGAATAAGTGCAAACTCATAAATGAATAACTTAATAGTAGAAATGAATTATCTGATATAAATCTCACATTTTGTCCATCAGAAATACTTTAATTGCATACGCATAACTATTAGTAATACGTCTGGAGTGTCAATTAATAACAATCCCACAACAAGTAAAATTCAGATTTTTATTAAACTTATTTTTTCCTAAAAGTTTTCTCAAATTACTATATATACATATGTGGATAAAATAATAGTAATATTGTAAAAAATTAGATAATTTTTTTTATTTGAGAACCTCTCAAAAGTTCATTCAATTTATCAATTGTTTCAGTTTGATGTATATTCATTTCTGGAGCCTAAAACTTTAGCAATCATGACAATATCATATTCTCTTTCTAACTACGCAATGTAAGGGTATCCTTAAGAAAATTAAGAACGAAATTTAAGTCAGAAATAACTAAAAAATGTCTCGATTTTTCATTTTTAGGAGGAAACCCAGATATCATGAGCGAATGTTTGAAATATCAGAAACCAGATATAATTTGCATGGAATATGCTATTATTTCACATAACATTGATTTTGTTACATTCTTGATGAATGAATACAAATTAGAGATAAATTTAAATTGTTGTGGATAGTATAATAATCTTGAATCATTTTTAGTTTATTTCGATCAGACGAATAATATTAACAAATATTTTGCTTTTTCAGGAAAGTTTGATATCCCATCTCTTGGTGAATATTTTCTTTTACTTGACGCAAATATAAATGCTTGGGTGATACACAAATGGACAGCTCTCCATTATGCAGCAGAAAATAATCATAAAGGTATGGCTGAATTTCTTATTTCAAAAGGAGCAAATATCAATGATAAAGATGAATTTGAACTAACCCCTCTTTATGTTGCAGTAGAAAATAATAGTATAGAAACAGTTAAACTCCTTATTTCACATGGTGCAAATATCAATGAAAAAGATAAATATGGAAGTACTGCTCTTCATATTGCAGCAGAAAAAAATAATACGGAACTAGCCGAACTCCTTATTTCACATGGTGCATATATCAATGATAAAGATCAATTTGGACAACCTCCTCTTCATATTGCAGTTTTGAAAAATAGTAAAGAAACAATCGAACTCTTTATTTCACATGGTGCAAATATCAATGAAAAAGATAAATTTAAAAAACGGCTCTTCATATTACAGCAGAAACCAATCTTAAAGAATTAGCCAATCTTCTTATTTCATATGGTGCAAATATCAATGATAAAGAAGATTCTATGCAAACACCTCTTCATCATGCAGCACGGCATAATAGTATAGAAACAGCCGAACTCCTTATTTCAAATGGTGCCAACATTAATGAAAAAGATAAATATGGGCAAACAGCTCTCTATATTGCAGTAGAAAAAATTTTAAAGAACTAGCTGAAGTTCTTATTTCACATGGTGCAAACATCAGTGATAAAGATGAATTCGGACAATCTCTTCTTCATACTGCAGTATGTGGAAATAGTAAAGAAACAATCGAACTCCTCCTTTCACATGGTGCAAACATTAATGAAAAAGATAAACACGGAAGGACAGCTCTTCATCACGCAGCAATGAATAATAATAAAGAAATAGCTGAACTCCTCCTTTCATACGGAGCAAATATCGATGAAAAAGATGAATTAAGAAGAACAGCTCTTCATATTGCAGCAGAAAATAATAATAAAGAACTAACAGAACTTCTTATTTCATATTGTACAAATATCAACCAAAAAGATGAATATGAGAAAAGCTGCTTTTCACATTGCAGCATATAATCATTATAAATAAACAGTCTTACTTCTTATTTCACACTGTGCAAGTATTATATAATTTATATATAAAAAAAGGTATACTTCTGAATACAAAATAATGAAATTCAAGCCTATAAAATAAAATTATGAACTTTGTAGAGATGGTTATTAATGAGATTGTAAAATACAGTATATATGACATATCTTCAAAGTTATATCATTATATTGTAGTTTTATCATTATATATGTTATTATAAATAGTTTAGAATAAATATTTGGATTACATTTCGAACGAAAATTTCTCCCAAAGTCTTTTGAAAATGATCAAGCTGATATATTAAAAAGAACAGGAATCAGAAGATATCATGAATGTCTTTCCAAAACTTTTTAGAAATCAAAAATTCAGCAAAATTTTTAGAATCTACATAGTTTGTGTGAGGGATGGTTTGGGTGAAAGTTGCAAAAAGTGTGTTAGTTTACAAAGGCCAGACAAAAAATTTATCGAGGGCACAGCCAAATGATATGAAATGAAAAATTAAAACGGTTGAATCCTATTATAGAATTTACCATTCCTGGTGCATATTGTGAAGCTCAATGGAATATCTTGGCATCAGAACTCTATATTTTTCTTTCATTTTTCTCAAAAAGAATTTCAAATATTTACATAATCACTTTCACTTTTTGCTTTTCAACTCCTTAAAAATATTTAGTTTTCAATATTTAGATGCTCTCATTTTCTGAGGTTATTAATGGTCTCTTTGAAAATTTAGGAAATCGATCTTTACTTTTTGAACAATTATCAAAAATTGCATAAATGAATGAATTATGCAAACAAAATTTACGACTCATTGTGTGCGGAAAACCGCCCTTCTTTTTTCAAATTTTACAAAATTTATGAACAATTATCAAAAATTGCATCCATATATGAAAAAAGCAAAAATAATTTACGACCCATAATTTTTTTTAATTAAATTTTGAATATATTTCTCAAAATTTAAAATACTGAAAATTGCATTTTGTGAAATGCTGAGAAGTTCTCTGATATTCAGCCATTTCCTGTCCAAAACCATAACTTATAGTAATTTGACAATATCAGGTAATAAGATGATATTCTCTGATCCTGATGATGTCAATGACAAAGATATTCGCAAAAAGATAATCGATTACCAACAATTGTTTATGATATTTCTAGTGAAAATGTTTTGGAAGAAATATCAGTTTATATAAATTATGTTGGGAATTTAGAAATCAAACGATATTCTAGTACAGAACTCAATTTATATTATAGTCACATTTATAATCTATCATCTGTAACAATTCCTGATACTGTTACAACAATTGGATTTGAATGTTTTAGGAGTTACTTAATTAAAAGTATTGATCTAAAAAATGTTGAATCGGTTTCATGGTATGGATTTTGTCAATGCTATAATCTCGAAACAATTAATGCACCCAAATTAACAAAAGTTATTAATATGTTTGCTTATGAATGTTACTCATTGCGTTCCTTGAAAACAGGTGGTTTGATTGATATCCCAGCAGCCGCATTTTATTCATGTTATAAATTAACTAGCATAGACTTTACATCTTTTACATCAATTGGTGTCAGCGCATTTCAATATTCTGGTATTGAATCAATTACAATTCCAGCAAACTGCACTATAATTAAAGAAAATGCCTTTGACCATAGTGCTCTATCAAAGATCACTTTTGAGGCAAGAATAACAGGTATTGAATTAACTATTATGTATTGCGCATTTTCAAATACTTTACTCTCAAGTATATCATTCCCGGTGGAAGTAGAATTTGGAAATGATGAATTGGATGAGAGTCATTGTTTGGCTAATTGCAGCAAACTAGAGAGTATTCATTTTGAAGATGATTTTTATAGAATTCCAGCTTATTTTGCGAATTTGTGTACAAATCTTAAGAGTGTTGTTGCAAAAGGTGTAACAACAATTAAGAGAGATGCATTTCATTTGTGCATTAATTTGGAAACTGTAACGTTTGATAGAGTGACATATTTTGGTGCATACTGTTACAGTTATTGCTCAAAATTGAATATGCAATTTGAAGAAACACTTGATGTAGATTTTTATACGAATGCCTTTGAATTTTGCGAGTCGCTCTCATTTAGTAAAGTATCATCCAATTGGAAATTACATGGTAATGAAGTATTTAAAGGATGCAGTGGATTAACCGCCCTAAAAATTGCTGCACCACTCGTTGAATCTACATTCAAAGGTTGTAAAGAACTTAAAAGTGTTGAAATTTTAGAAAACATTACTGAAATCCCCAGTTATTGTTTCAAAAACTGCACAAAATTAACGAGCTTTAAATACACAAATGGTCTCAAATCTGTTGATGAGGAAGCATTTGCTTCCACTAGTTTATCTGGAACATTTGATTTCACAGATATTTCTATTGGTGATTTTGCTTTTGAGAGTTCAGAAATTGAAGAAGTCACCATTGGAAGAGAAATATATGATTATGTTTTTCGCAATTGCACTAAATTAAAAACGGTATATATTAATAGCAGCCAATTTAATCTTAGGTCATTTATTAATACTTCTTCCGACATTGAATTCAAATTGGGTAGTGGCGCTGAAGATCTTAAAATTGAGGGTAACATTTTAGTCGGTTATCCGGAATATATAAAACCAGCGAAAATTTTGACTGCTGTGCTTCCCAACTATGATGAAAAGTCTCTGACAATATCTAAATTTACTCATATTTCTGAATATGCATTTTCACTCTGCAAGAAACTATCAGAAGTCATTGCAGATACTAATATTTCCTTCTATGAAAACAATTTTGCATATTCTAATGTCGAAACAGTTGAAATAAAGGATTGCGGAAATTTATTTATTCCAGATAATACATTTACAAAAGCACACTCTCTCAAGAAGGTTATAATTTCAGCAAAAATACTAGGAATTGGGGAGGAAGCATTTTCTGATTGTTATAAACTAAAGACTGTAGAGTTACCTTCATTTGTTAAGGAAATTCGAGAACGTGCATTTTTCAAATGCTATTATTTGAAATCAATAGATATAAGTAATGTTAATTTAATTCATTCCGAAGCATTTAAATATTAAATATAAGTCCACTGAAAGCAAATGCTTGTGCAGGAACTTCAATAACATTGTAATTAAACGTTTTCAAACTTGTACAATTGAAAAATGCTTTTTCACCGATTGAAATATATGGGAAGTTTTGATTCAAAACAACTTCTTGTAAAGAAGAACAGTTAACAAAACAACCATCAGGAATACTAACACTCATTAAAAGCTCTATTCTTGTTAATGTCTTGCAACCAACAAAGACATATGATCCAAAAAATTGAACGTTTTTTACAAATTCAATAGTTTGTAAATTTTCACAATTTAGAAAGCAATAATTATTTATTGAATCAATCATTGTGTAAACTACTATTTATTTAAGATTTGTGCACTCTTTAAATGTATACTTTCTAAAACTATAAATATTTTGTGACAGAATTGTAATTTTTTCGATGAATTTGCAATATTTAAAACCATATTCTAATCTTTGAACAGATTGAGGAACTGTAATTTCCTTTATTTTACCAGATGGAAAACAAGAAATGAGTGTTGTTCTATCTCTATCATATAATAGCGGATATTCATACAAAGAATCAAATTTATCAATTTGAATTCCGTTTAAATTATCAGCTCCGGCAAATATGGAAAAATCAAGACTTTCTCTTATTATTGCTCTTTTTAGTTTGTAACAGCCAGCAAATACATCAATTTTGTCCATATCTGATGAATAATAATCTGAATCTTCAGAATAAGTTAGGGACTGAGCATCAATTTCTTCAATATTGGTATTTAAAAATGCACATTTATATAATGTAACTGAACCAAGTATGATCTTCCCTTCAATTCCAGAGTTTGCAAATGCAAATTCTGAAATTACGTTACACCATCTTAAATTAACATTTTTGAGATTTTTACAGCTGTAAAAGCTATACGATGATATTAGATAGACAGTTTCTAAATTAATTGATTTAATATTCGAATATGCAAAAATTGTATTAATACTATATACACCATTAAGAATTATTTCTTCAACATTTGGAAACATTTCTGCAAAGTTTTGTATTCTGGGAGTAGCAGAAATGTCTGAAAATATTATTAATTTGATAGTTTTGAATTTATAGAAGTATTTTTCATAGGTTACATCTTCAGAAAACTTAATACTCATATTTTGTATATTTTTATGGCAAATTTCGAGATAAATTTGATAATCTTTTAAATCCAGACTGTTTCTGACCGTAACAAGTGATTGACTGGTATCGAATTCTGCTGGTTCAGATAAGCGAGTGACTTGGTGATGTATTTTTTGCAATGCTAGTGTAGTAATCATCTATGCTGATAAAATTAAGATGGATAATCGTACTTTTTGTGAAATTGTAAATTGAATTTATATATTTCAAGTCATTATACAAGATTTGAAAATTTAGTAGTAGGATAGGATGGGGTGTGTGACTTTTTTTGTTACATCTATATATAGACGATGCATTAAAATATATTTATTTATAAATCATTAAAAAATTAACATTAATTTTAAAATAATTTATTTTTTTATTCTTACATAAATGACCCAACAAGTAAAACCAGATAAAATAGATTATCGAATTTTAGAGGATGGTGTTCCTGTTTATATTCAAAGATTTAAAGGGAAGCAATATTATAGAATTGTTAATCCTGAATACATAAAACATTTATTTAAAAAGGAAGACTGTGAATTATTAAACGTTAATGAATATGAAACCAATAAATCAAAATTGAAATATAAATATATTGGAAGTGATGAAAGATGCAAAGATAAAGATAAAGTTTATACAGTTTCATATAATGAATGGAAAACCAATAAGATAAGAAAACATTTAGGAGATTATGGGAAATGTTCTGAATTCTTTAAATCTAGTATATACGAGAGAGTAAAAGAAATTAGAAATAATTATTTTCATGAATAAAAGATTCACTACCATAATGAAATAAAAAATAAACACATTAAAAAATTAACATTAATTTTAAAATAATTATTTTTTATCTTTTATAAAAGAAGCTATATATAGATGATGTCAGATATTCCGCGATTAATTAAACATTGTTTAAATCCTGAATGGAATCAATGGAGTCATAATCAAAGACCTCATAAACGAGAAGAAGAAATTAGATATAATTATTTTCATGAATGAAAGATTCACTACCATAATGAAATAAAAGATGAAAATTCATGTCTTACATTTTTGAATAATTTATTTTTAATTCGTATGAAATGAGCGTCAAAACTAACGACGTGAAAACATTAGGATTCACAAACGAGGAAATAAAGGATATATTAGATGAGATGTGTTATGAAGTTAGTAAATATTATTTAAGAAATTGTCAAAAATTTGCCGAGTTATTAAATGATTTAGATTATGATGGAAAAATGAATAAAGATGATGTTATAAATTTCTTATATCCTACATCTGAAGAAGAAAAACCTAAAGAACCTGATGTTTTCCCTGAATATTATGAAGAACGGATTAAAGATGATGAATACGATGAAATGAAATTGAAAGACTGGAAAAAATAAGAGATGAAATAGATGAAAAAATTAAGGAATTAAGAGAAGTTGAAAAATATAATGAAAATGAAGTAGAGGGTTTAATGAATATCCCAGCTTCAGAATCAGAAGTTCAGAAATCTCATGAAGAAAGATATAAAAATTATGTCTCAGAATCAACACAAAATTTATTAGATGGTGAAATAGACGAAACACTTTCAGAAGAAGGTACTAAATTTATTCGTAAACATAAGTTACAATTTATTGATAATGAAGAATACCCTTGTATCTTACTTTCACCACCTTTAGATTCCGAAAAATTCAAAAAAGCTCTTAAAAACGTGACATATGCAACTAATACGATTAAGAAAGAAGATCATGATATTTACACAAATTATTATTTAAATAAATGCACAGGTGTTGATAAAGTTTTTGATTTATTAGATAAAATATCAAAAGAAACCATTGGAACATATAAAATTTTGTGTGATTGTGGTTTCATTATTGAAGATACCAATAATGTTTCATATGAAAGAACAGCACCGAAGGAAGACGAAGTTGAAAGGTCTATACCATTCGTTATTAAGAATATAAAAGATATGAAAACTTATAAACATTATATTTATTCATTTATTTCAGAAAAAATGGAAGCAACCCATAAAACATCTTCTCATCATTTTATAGCTATTCATACATTCCTTTTCAAAGTTGTGAAATTAAATAAGACAGGAATTAGATTTAATGTATCAGGGTACGCATTCTTGAGTAAATTAAAATGTATTCGTCACGTCGCAGATGATAAAAATTTATGTGTTCTTAATTCATTTTATGGGCTTTAAAAAATAAACTTTATTTTTATTTATTTTTTAATTTTTTATTCTTACATAAATGAACAAAAACGGAACCGCTAAAATGAATGATAATCAAATTAGAGCAGAAGGTAGAAGGTTATTTAAACGCTTCTATAACATTCCTGATGGTGTTAATCCTAAAACTCGTAGAAGCTATTTAAATGAAGCAATAGATGCATATGAAGGGTTTGACATTTCATCAGAAAGTGAGAGATTAGCGAGAATGTTAAATGTTAATATTGATTTCTATTATTGTGATCCTCAACCAGAAGACGTGGACATAAATAAGGTAGACTTTCCATTAGTGGAATCAATAATGATAGATCCAGAATTTGAAACAGTAAATATTTTATTAACACAGAGTCCATGTGGAAAACTTCACGCTGACAGAATAACAGACGTTGAAGCACTCACCGGCTATAGAGTTTGTCCATATTGTAAAGAAGAAGTTTATTCTATCCGTGATGATCCAGAAAGGAAAAACCAAAGAAGATTTTTAAAGCATTGTGAGAAATGTAAAGAAAATAATGGAAGATTAATTCAAGACGTTCAGTTGCAAAAGACACAGCAACCATATGCACCACATATTACGAAACAGAAGATATATCAGTGGTTATTAGCTCATAATTTGCAGAAATATTATAAACCGACAAGATATTATATTACTTTTGACTTCGAAACATTAGAGACTAAAGAAGAATTACAACTTTCTGAGTGTGCAACTTTGAACGCTTACTTAAAACCATTCATGGTATCATCAACGGTTAAATTAAATGATAAAACATATACGAGGAATTTTTGCTTAACTTCGAGTGATTCTTTTATTTCTGATTGGATTGAGTTTTTATTTTCAACCTGTTCATTAGTTGCTAAATCAAATATTGAACAATACAATGAATTAATGAAGTCGCAAACGGACCAAACGGCGGGGACTTTGTCTCATACATTAAATGAAAAACAGAAGGAAGCATTTAAAGAACTTCTAGATGAGGAATTCAATAAAGTGAATATCATAGGTTTTAATTCGGGAAAGTTTGATTTAAATTTAATTCTTCGTGATTTAAACACTGCAAAATGGAAAATAAAATCAATGCTGGGTTCATCTTCACAATTTAAGCAAATCATTGTAAAGAAAACAAACGTTCCATATGAATTGAGATTTATTGACATCAGAAATTATATAGCGGGTGGAACATTAGACCAATTCACTCAAGATTTCGGAAATAATAAATCACGTGTTAAATCCTTTTTCCCTTATCAATTCATCACGTGGGAAAATTACGAAGAAGAATTATATAAAGAGGAACCATTCACTCAAGATTCATTTTATTCAGCATTAACCAAGAAACTATATCAGATAGTGATTATCAAATATATCTCAATGATGCTAAAAACTTTAAGAATAGATTAGAATATTTTATTCATTATTGCAATAAAGATGTTGAAATTATGATTGACCCAATTGATAAAATTATTGAAGAAACATTTGTTTATAAAATTGACATGCTTCATAATCTTTCTTTATCATCGAATGCTTCAATGATTCGTTACGCTTTAGCATATAAAGACTTTAATCCTAATGAAAAATATCCTGAGGAAGAGATAGAATCAAGTTTTGAATTAACGAAAAAGTATTGGAAATATAAAATTGAATCATATAAGAAACAAGATGAAAAAGCAGAAAGGGATACTAAAAATAATGTTTCAATGGATGATTTTCAATACTATCACGATTTAATCCTTTCATCTAAATGCAAAATGTGTGGTAAAGCGTTTACATATGCAAATAAACCAACATTGGATAGAATCGATAATGAAAAACCACATACCAAAGAAAATTGTCAGTTAATGTGTTGTTATTGCAATGTCGTGAAATCAAATAAAGATGAAGATGTTCAACGTTTAAGAATCAATTTAAGAAATTATGCATTAAAAAATAATTTACCAATGACTTTAGATTCAGTTGAAGCTTATCACATTCTCCGTAATGGAATTACTGGTGGTTTATCAAATGTTCAACATAGAGTAAATCTTAAAGGAATCACGCACATTAATAAACTTTCATATAATCCAGAAACTAAAACTGTATCAAATGAGGACACCACCAACATCATGACTCATTTCGTTGGAGTTGACTTTAATTCATTATATCCTTCATCATTTTCATCTAATCCTCATGATTTCATTCAATATACTGACCATAAAATGTATATGCCGGGAAGATTGAATGGTGTTATCATTTGTGATACAGCAACAAAGAAAGCAAAAGCACTGGGAATAATTAAGAAGAAAAATACTTTATTCGTGGCTGAAGTAAAGGGTCACATTGATGAAAAATACATTAATGATTACATAAACTTTTTACCGATAATAAGAAACTTAGATATTATCACAGATGAAAAAACAATTGGCAGTTTTATGTATAATTACATGAAATCAAACAATCTACCAGTTGACCAGAAACAGAGGAAATTAACTCAGTTAGCATCAACATACAACCAATATCAACCATTTTCTTCTTATTATCTTGGTATCTAATCGACAGATTTCATTTTATCATCGATGATATTCAATCAATTTTAACATTTACGAAAAACACTTGTTTTAATGAATTTGCGAACAAATTTATGAACGAAAGACAAAAGGCTGAATTAGAAGGAAATAAAGGAAAAAGTTTATTTTGCAAGATTTCACTTAATGGATCATATGGTTACGATGCAATGAATACACAAAATTACGCAAAGACTAAAATAATGAATGCACAGAAGGCACGCGTTGCATGTATGTCAAATAAGTTTAAAAACATAAGAGAAATAGGTGAAGATACATATCAAGTGATGCTTAAAGATAGATTTTATAGATGTGATACATGTTTACAAGAGGCATTCTTCACTTTAGATAATGCTAAATACTGGTATTTGTTTTCATTTATGATTTTATGTATAAATGCATGGATGTTAATCGTTTTCATTTCATTGAAGGTGATACTGATTCATCTTATTGGGCAATCGCTGGCGACCCAAATCTTCCTAACACTCAAGCATTTCAAGCAATTGTTACCGATAAACAATTTTATGATAAAAACATTTTCAAATTCGCACCATTTGATTTCTTCTGTTTTGATGAGAAATTTAAACCTAAATTAAAGAATAAAGCTGAAGAAAAAGCACATGAGAAAAATTATTGGGTTTAGCAATTGAGAAACAAGGTGATAACATGGTTGCTTTATGTCCTAAGTGTTATACATCATTCAACGGTTCAATTGATGGAAGTGATTTTAAAAAGATTGCACAAAAAATGAAGGGTGTTAGTTTAAGACAAAATAAGCAATTAACACCTAAAAAATATTTGGATATAATAAATGATAAAGTGATATTTGATGGTCAGAATATTAATTTACAACTTAAAAACGGGTCAATGACTCGCTTAACAATCGGTAAGACTGCATTAACAGGAGCACACACTAAGGCTGTATGTTGTGAAAATGGATGTTGTATGCCATTTATTTAATACAATTTAAAATTTTATTTTAATGAAATGCCACAGAAGAGACAAAAGGAACCAAATCGATTTAACTTTCAGATTCCAAATAATCAACCACAACGAATTTTTTAAATCCCATCACAGCATCAACAGCAACAACAACCGCCACCATTTGATACCGTTTTAGAAGAAGGAACCGTTAATGATGGGATTCAATATGTAAATAATGGTTTTGATACTATGATTCAAAGAGGTGGGCACCCTTAAAACATTGATTTTATTTTTATATAAATGGATAACGTAGATTTAAAAATTTTAATTGATGATTTAGTACTTAATCAAAATTTTCTTATTATTATGAATTAAAATCATATCTCCAAAAATATGATAACAATATAACGGGTGATGATATGGAATATTATTATCCATATTATAAAAATGAAATTTTGAAATATCATGATAGAATAATTTCTAAAATTAAAGACAAAATTAAAAATAATGAATATTCAAAGGAAAAACTAAATCACAACTTAAACAGTTGAAAGATTTCAAAAATAAAGTATTAACAGAAGAAGATATTGATGAATTATATAATTTATATAATCCTGAGCCGCAAAAGCCAAAGCCGAGGTCTAAAGTAGCAAATGTTCAACAGCCAAAGGAACAAAAACAAAAGATGCAAAACGCCCAGGTCCTTCAGACCATAAATGAAGCACAAGCTTTAATTTATGATTCATTAGTTAAACCATATTCAGCCCGACTTTTAAATGAAGATCAACTTTTGGAATTCATCCTTCAACATAAACTCGAAGCGGGAAAGTATATCAAACCTTTATATACAGCATATTTAAAACAAATGAATAGAATACATCCAGAATTAATGAAGGAAGGAATGAAATCCAAAATCAAAGCAGATAAAATTAAACCACTTGCAACACCAAAACCTCCAACGACAGTACCGCCTCCTCCTTCAGTTAATCCTTCATCATTCACTTTATTATATCCATTTCAAACATTAAAGAAGCAAAAAGATTTTAAAAAGGATTTCAAAATATTAAATAAACCAATTGACCCAAAAATTCAACCATTAAAGGAAAAATTTAGTCGCCCTTCATTTGCTCCATATCCATATTCATACGAAATAGATCATTTAGAATATTCAAAAGGAAACGTTACTTATTTATTTGCCATTAACATTAACACTAGATATTTATATTGCATTCCGGTGAAAGGGAAAACAGAACAGGAAACAAGAAGAGCTATACAATACTTACTAGATCATGAAAGAGTAGATAATATAAGGGGTGATGGTGATAAAGGATTTCAGGCAACTATGACTCATTATTTCCCACAAATTAATTTTTTCTTTTCATCCTCTCCATATACGTTTCATAATAAAATAGTTGATGCGGTAATGAGAACTCTTAGAGATGCGTTAGGGGTTAACGGTCAGATATACTGGGATGGAAATCATGACTCCATATACAACAGTTAGTATATTATTATAATAATACATGGCATAGAACTATAAACATGAAACCAGTGGAAATGAAAAATGATATTTCAAAAGAATGGGAATATATTAAAAGCAAATGGAAAGGTTGAATGATGTTAAACGTGAACAAATTAATTCGGGGCTCATGAATTTTAAACAAGGGGATAAAGTTTTGATTCATCTCGATTATGGAAAAACTAATAAATCAATGACAAAAAGAAGACGAAGATTTTACACAATAGCTGAATTTGTTAGATATATTAACGGTAATGTATTAGTTGAAGTTGACAATAAATTAATAGAAATTCCAATTTATTTTATTACTCCATTATATTTAAATAATATTTAATTTTTTTATTTCGTAAGAAATGAGTGACAACAAAGCAGTCAAGAGTCCTGATTTAATTAAGATTCAGAGTCCTGACGATGAATATAAAAAGAAACTAAACAGAATTAAATCAAAAATATGCTATTACAAAAAGAAGCCGCAATGCAGTGGGGTTGATGTCCATAAAACTAATGGAACTGAAAACGATGAAGAAATAATCGAAAAATTAGAAACTTATCGTTCATCCTTAAACTGGGTGAAGCAAAAATAAAAGAATTTAATAGAATAAATAAATTGATTGGAAGAGATGAATTTAATAAAGATGAATTTTTAAACTCAATCCAATTTTAATTTTTTCAGTGCTACCATGTTACCATGTGCTACCAGGTTAATTAACTTCTCTGAAAAAATGAGACAACATGACATTTTGACAACATAGGAAATATGATGCAGTCCAAAAATAACGTTAGTTTTATTTTTTTCAACTTTTTATTTTGTATGTAAGAACAGAAATGTCAGTCGAAGCAAAAACATTCACGAACAAATCTAATGGTGAAACATTCACAAAAGGCACTTATAATGGTATTGAAGTCTTACGTAGAGACAAGGATGGTTACATTAATGCAACAAATATGTGCCAACAGTTTAGGAAAGACTTTAGAAAGTTGTTGGAAAATAAGTCCTGGGAAGAGTATTATAAGGCATTTTGTGAAGAATATAGCAACCGCCGGAATTCAGACGGTTGCTTTTTATACAAAATTCATGCAGGAATTTCCTGATGAAATCAAACAGGTTAGAGGAACGTATGTAGACCCAAGACTTATAAACTATATAGCAATGTGGGCTTCTCCAAAATATTGCATAGCAGTTGGAAAAATTATGGACTCCATAGACAAGAAAGTTCATGAGAAATTAGATGAAGAAGAACTCGAAGATACAGTAGAGAATGCAAAACATTTGTTTGAAGAAGAAGTTAGAAAAATGTGCAAAAAACAATTAGAACATGAACGTGAGATATATTATGGTTATAGAGATTCTCCATACGAACTAGACCAATGGGAACAAGAAGATTTAAAGAGAGAATTTAGAGAATATGAACTCGCTAAGATAGCATTAGAAACTGCAGAAAAGAAGTTAAAAGTTTGGGGTCGTTTTGTAAAAAAATATTGTGAGTAAATGAACCATTTATTTTTGTCATAAACGACCAAAAATATATTTTATCGTTAATGGTTTCAGGTTATTCAATAATTAATTATTTTTGAAGAACTGAAGGTGTTACCATGTTACCATGTGCTACCAGGTTATTTAACTTCTCTGAAAAAATGAGACAACATGACATTTTGACAACAACACAGGAGGAAGGCACTTATGAATTATTTTTGAAGAACTGAAGGTGCTACCATGTTACCATGTGCTACCAGGTTATTTAACTTCTCTGAAAAAATGAGACAACATGACATTTTGACAACAACACAGGAGGAAGGCACTTATGAATTATTTTTGAAGAACTGAAGGTGCTACCATGTTACCATGTGCTACCAGGTTATTTAACTTCTCTGAAAAAATGAGACAACATGACATTTAGACAACAACGGAGGAGGATTAATGCAAAAATAAATTCAAATCATACTTTATAAAGCTTCATTTACAGGTATTTCATCGTCAGTAAATGAATCCTCATTATCGTTTGGTTCAACCTGTTTATATAATCCTTTCATTTCTTCTTTCAAAACATAACACCATGTTTGTTTATCGTCTATTCTTCTATGTTTCCTATCACATTTATCCTTAATGCTCATTTGAAAGTTTTTGTCTTTCATGTCTGATGATTTGCAGAATAGAGCATTTTTACACGTCATACCTGCACATAATTCATCATAATGTGTATTTATCCATACATCTAAAGGATTTGTTGATAATTCAATTAAATCTTGTTTGGCTTCAGTCATCGGTATGATTCGTACATTAAATGATGAAAGGTCGTAATTGATAAAATATGTTAAAAGGTTATCATAAAATTCCTTAGTGCATGAATCCATTAAATTCTTGAAGTAATCAAATTGACCCTTGAATTTACCATTAACTCTTAAAACTACGTATCTTCTGTCTCCAACTTCAATTTTGACAGGGTAGACGTTTTGTCATGATTTCATCGTAATGAGTGTAAATGACCCAAAAATAATGTTTACGTTAATGGTGAGATTTCACCTAATTTTTCACCTCTTTTCACCCTCTTGCGATTTTCGTACGGAATCTCTTCTCTCGGTTTTCGGAGGGAAGCAATCATATGAGGAAATTCTTCTAAAAGTTCTTTTGTCTGTTGGTTTTCAAACCAATGATATGCTTGCTTTGTAGAACGAAGAGCATTCATTATACTTTGCATTTGGTACATGTCATCTTTGACCGAACGAATGAGGCGAAGTTGTTTGTTATATTGTATGTACTCGTATTCTTCATTTATGGCTTCATGAACGATAGCAGTTGTTGTGTTCTCTGATGTTGACATTTCTGTCATTTCATACAAAATAAAAATAATTTTAAAACTAACTTTATTTTTTCTGACTTTCACAAAAGACCAAAAATAAACGCTTTACATGTATTTTTCAGCAACTTCGTCAAATAATTTTATAGCTTTATCTATCTCATCTACTTCAAACGTTTCTTTACCTTTCATGGGAGCACCATACCTTTTCTCAAACTTTTCAAGTAGTTCTGTTTCTGCAGCTCTCATATCATTAACGAACCAACCTTGACTCTATTGACTGTACTGTCATATCTTTGAGTTATATTATATGTTCTTCCTATCTTATATCTCTTTGTATTGAAGTCCTTCGGTTTCTGAACGATGTAAAGTAAGCCTTCACTGCAACGTTCCGTATCGAATGAACCATAAGTTATGAAGTTATATCCAACAACTGGGTCTAACCATAACAAAACTATTGGTATAAGACTTTTGTCAATGAGATATGCTGTAGTTCCATAGAATCTTACCGATATCATAAGCTCAGGATTTCTTGTCAAAATTTTCTGAGTTGAAGCATTTCTAACCCAGTCGTTTGTTTTCTTTCCAGATGGAGATATAATGTCTGACAAAGAATATTTGTTGTATTTCTTTGAGTATCTTACGTTTAAATCACCTATTCTAACCACTTTGGTGTCATTGTCTATCTTTCTAACTGTTTCAAACTCAATGTTTGTCATTACTGTCTTTACATACAAAATAAAAATAAAACTAACTTTATTTTTCTAACTAATGAAATTCATTATTTTTGTTGCTGAATTCAATAAAAATATATTTTAGGTGAAGAGGTGAGATTTCACCTAATTTTTCACCCCAGTTATTTTATAAGCGTTTTACATGAATTGTACGATGTATATTTGAAATTCTAAACAATTTCGTAGCTTCTATTTCTTCTGTCAGTATGTCAAAAGTTTTAACAATGCCGAAAGTTTCTTTATACTTCTTCTTGACGTCAGATAGAAGGAAATCGTCAGCTGTTGGATAGTTTTTGTTCAGAAATGCTAACATGTCCATTTTATCTTCTGCTGGTTTCTCTACTTCTTTCTTTAAGTCAGCATAGTCGTTTCTCATACGTTCTATCTCTTTGACGGAGTAGTTATATTTCCTCATTGCTGCTTTACATTTTGAACATTGCGGATTCATTTTTGCGTTATACATTGAAATTTGACCTGCTAGAACAACTAAGGCGTCAATGGTTTTCTTTAACTCAAAAGTTGTTGGTTTTATTTGTCCATTCCATATTTTACATCTTTTATCTTTATCTCTTATCTGCCATACACATTCAGCAACTAATGAAACAAAGTTGTCGTAGGTCTTAAATTCTTCAGATTTATATATGTCAGAGATGTTCTTATATACCATGTCGCAATCTTTGTCCATAACTTTATGGTTGCAATGAAAACCAAGGAATTCATAGTTTACTTTACGTATGAACTTCTTTATTTCTACTGAATCAGTTGGTTTCACTTCTATTTCATCGAATTCAGGAATAGTTAGTTTTTGCTGCTGAATTTCAGGCAATTTGGGTAAATGGTCAATAATGTCCTGTATGTCATAAAGATACTGTTCATTTGTTTCATCTTTCGCACTACAGTCTAAATTACTTGTTAAAAGTTCTTGCTTAATTCTTTGTATTTCTGTCTCAAAAGTATATGAAGAAGGAATAAAGCTTTTCATCTCTACCAACATTGACGTAGGATTCATAACTAAAGAGTTTGGTGCTGTAGTTGTGGACAGAGTCCCGCCGTTCGTGGCTTGAATTGTTGTTGTGCCGATTGTTGAAATCATATCTTTTATACAAAATCAAAAATAAAAATAAAACTAACTTTATTTTTTCTATCTTAAGGAAATTCATGAAAATTCACGAGAAAGCAAAAGCAATCTGAGCCGCTAAGCGGTGAGAAAACAGGTGAAAAAGGAGGTGAAATCTCACCTCTTCACCTAAAATATATTTTTGTCTGATTTACACTCATTACGATGAAGTCATGACAAAGCATATACGATGAAACCATTAACGTAAACATTTACGATGAAATCATTAACGTAAACATTTATTTCCTGTGTTGTTGTCAAAATGTCATGTTGTCTCATTTTTTCAGAGAAGTTAAATAACCTGGTAGCACATGGTAACATGGTAGCACCTTCAGTTCTTCAAAAATAATTCATAAGTGCCTTCCTCCTGTGTTGTTGTCAAAATGTCATGTTGTCTCATTTTTTCAGAGAAGTTAAATAACCTGGTAGCACATGGTAACATGGTAGCACCTTCAGTTCTTCAAAATAATTCATAAGTGCCTTCCTCCTGTGTTGTTGTCAAAATGTCATGTTGTCTCATTTTTTCAGAGAAGTTAAATAACCTGGTAGCACATGGTAACATGGTAACACCTTCAGTTCTTCAAAAATAATTAATTATTGAATAACCTGAAACCATTAACGATAAATATATTTTTGGTCGTTTATGACAAAAATAAATGGTTCATTTACTCACAATATTTTTTTACAAAACGACCCCAAACTTTTAACTTCTTTTCTGCAGTTTCTAATGCTATCTTAGCGAGTTCATATTCTCTAAATTCTCTCTTTAAATCTTCTTGTTCCCATTGGTCTAGTTCGTATGGAGAATCTCTATAACCATAATATATCTCACGTTCATGTTCTAATTGTTTTTTGCACATTTTTCTAACTTCTTCTTCAAACAAATGTTTTGCATTCTCTACTGTATCTTCGAGTTCTTCTTCATCTAATTTCTCATGAACTTTCTTGTCTATGGAGTCCATAATTTTTCCAACTGCTATGCAATATTTTGGAGAAGCCCACATTGCTATATAGTTTATAAGTCTTGGGTCTACATACGTTCCTCTAACCTGTTTGATTTCATCAGGAATTCCTGCATGAATTTTGTATAAAAAGCAACCGTCTGAATTCCGGCGGTTGCTATATTCTTCACAAAATGCTTATAATACTCTTCCCAGGACTTATTTTCCAACAACTTTCTAAAGTCTTTCCTAAACTGTTGGCACATATTTGTTGCATTAATGTAACCATCCTTGTCTCTACGTAAGACTTCAATACCATTATAAGTGCCTTTTGTGAATGTTTCACCATTAGATTTGTTCGTGAATGTTTTTGCTTCGACTGACATTTCTGTTCTTACATACAAAATAAAAAGTTGAAAAAATAAAACTAACGTTATTTTTGGACTGCATCATATTTCCTATGTTGTCAAAATGTCATGTTGTCTCATTTTTTCAGAGAAGTTAATTAACCTGGTAGCACATGGTAACATGGTAGCACTGAAAAAATTAAATTTGGATTGAGTTTAAAAATTCATCTTTATTAAATTCATCTCTTCCAATCAATTTATTTATTCTATTAAATTCTTTTATTTTTGCTTCACCCAGTTTAAGGATTGAACGATAAGTTTCTAATTTTTCGATTATTTCTTCATCGTTTTCAGTTCCATTAGTTTTATGGACATCAACCCCACTGCATTGCGGCTTCTTTTTGTAATAGCATATTTTTGATTTAATTCTGTTTAGTTTCTTTTTATATTCATCGTCAGGACTCTGAATCTTAATTAAATCAGGACTCTTGACTGCTTTGTTGTCACTCATTTCTTACGAAATAAAAAAATTAAATATTATTTAAATATAATGGAGTAATAAAATAAATTGGAATTTCTATTAATTTATTGTCAACTTCAACTAATACATTACCGTTAATATATCTAACAAATTCAGCTATTGTGTAAAATCTTCGTCTTCTTTTTGTCATTGATTTATTAGTTTTTCCATAATCGAGATGAATCAAAACTTTATCCCCTTGTTTAAAATTCATGAGCCCCGAATTAATTTGTTCACGTTTAACATCATTCAACCTTTCCATTTGCTTTCTAATATATTCCCATTCTTTTGAAATATCATTTTTCATTTCCACTGGTTTCATGTTTATAGTTCTATGCCATGTATTATTATAATAATATACTAACTGTTGTATGATGGAGTCATGATTTCCATCCCAGTATATCTGACCGTTAACCCCTAACGCATCTCTAAGAGTTCTCATTACCGCATCAACTATTTTATTATGAAACGTATATGGAGAGGATGAAAAGAAAAAATTAATTTGTGGGAAATAATGAGTCATAGTTGCCTGAAATCCTTTATCACCATCACCCCTTATATTATCTACTCTTTCATGATCTAGTAAGTATTGTATAGCTCTTCTTGTTTCCTGTTCTGTTTTCCCTTTCACCGGAATGCAATATAAATATCTAGTGTTAATGTTAATGGCAAATAAATAAGTAACGTTTCCTTTTGAATATTCTAAATGATCTATTTCGTATGAATATGGATATGGAGCAAATGAAGGGCGACTAAATTTTTCCTTTAATGGTTGAATTTTTGGGTCAATTGGTTTATTTAATATTTTGAAATCCTTTTTAAAATCTTTTTGCTTCTTTAATGTTTGAAATGGATATAATAAAGTGAATGATGAAGGATTAACTGAAGGAGGAGGCGGTACTGTCGTTGGAGGTTTTGGTGTTGCAAGTGGTTTAATTTTATCTGCTTTGATTTTGGATTTCATTCCTTCCTTCATTAATTCTGGATGTATTCTATTCATTTGTTTTAAATATGCTGTATATAAAGGTTTGATATACTTTCCCGCTTCGAGTTTATGTTGAAGGATGAATTCCAAAAGTTGATCTTCATTTAAAAGTCGGGCTGAATATGGTTTAACTAATGAATCATAAATTAAAGCTTGTGCTTCATTTATGGTCTGAAGGACCTGGGCGTTTTGCATCTTTTGTTTTTGTTCCTTTGGCTGTTGAACATTTGCTACTTTAGACCTCGGCTTTGGCTTTTGCGGCTCAGGATTATATAAATTATATAATTCATCAATATCTTCTTCTGTTAATACTTTATTTTTGAAATCTTTCAACTGTTTAAGTTGTGATTTAGTTTTTTCCTTTGAATATTCATTATTTTTAATTTTGTCTTTAATTTTAGAAATTATTCTATCATGATATTTCAAAATTTCATTTTTATAATATGGATAATAATATTCCATATCATCACCCGTTATATTGTTATCATATTTTTGGAGATATGATTTTAATTCATAATAATTAAGAAAATTTTGATTAAGTACTAAATCATCAATTAAAATTTTTAAATCTACGTTATCCATTTATATAAAAATAAAATCAATGTTTTAAGGGTGCCCACCTCTTTGAATCATAGTATCAAAACCATTATTTACATATTGAATCCCATCATTAACGGTTCCTTCTTCTAAAACGGTATCAAATGGTGGCGGTTGTTGTTGCTGTTGATGCTGTGATGGGATTTAAAAAATTCGTTGTGGTTGATTATTTGGAATCTGAAAGTTAAATCGATTTGGTTCCTTTTGTCTCTTCTGTGGCATTTCATTAAGAATAAAATTTTAAATTGTATTAAATAAATGGCATACAACATCCATTTTCACAACATACAGCCTTAGTGTGTGCTCCTGTTAATGCAGTCTTACCGATTGTTAAGCGAGTCATTGACCCATTTTTAAGTTGTAAATTAATATTCTGACCATCAAATATCACTTTATCATTTATTATATCCAAATATTTTTTAGGTGTTAATTGCTTATTTTGTCTTAAACTAACACCCTTCATTTTTTGTGCAATCTTTTTAAAATCACTTCCATCAATTGAACCGTTGAATGATGTATAACACTTAGGACATAAAGCAACCATGTTATCACCTTGTTTCTCAATTGCTAAACCCAATAATTTTTTCTCATGTGCTTTTTCTTCAGCTTTATTCTTTAATTTAGGTTTAAATTTCTCATCAAAACAGAAGAAATCAAATGGTGCGAATTTGAAAATGTTTTTATCATAAAATTGTTTATCGGTAACAATTGCTTGAAATGCTTGAGTGTTAGGAAGATTTGGGTCGCCAGCGATTGCCCAATAAGATGAATCAGTATCACCTTCAATGAAATGAAAACGATTAACATCCATGCATTTATACATAAAATCATAAATGAAAACTAAATACCAGTATTTAGCATTATTTAAAGTGAAGAATGCCTCTTGTAAACATGTATCACATCTATAAAATCTATCTTTGAGCATCACTTGATATGTATCTTCACCTATTTCTCTTATGTTTTTAAACTTATTTGACATACATGCAACGCGTGCCTTCTGTGCATTCATTATTTTAGTCTTTGCGTAATTTTGTGTATTCATTGCATCGTAACCATATGATCCATTAAGTGAAATCTTGCAAAATAAACTTTTTCCTTTATTTCCTTCTAATTCAGCCTTTTGTCTTTCGTTCATAAATTTGTTCGCAAATTCATTAAAACAAGTGTTTTTAGTAAATGTTAAAATTGATTGAATATCATCAATGATAAAATTAAACCTGGCGATTAGATACCATAGATAATAAGAAGAAAATGGTTGATATTGGTTGTATGTTGATGCTAACTGAGTTAATTTCCTCTGTTTCTGGTCAACTGGTAGATTGTTTGATTTCATGTAATTATACATAAAACTGCCAATTGTTTTTTCATCTGTGATAATATCTAAGTTTCTTATTATCGGTAAAAAGTTTATGTAATCATTAATGTATTTTTCATCAATGTGACCCTTTACTTCAGCCACGAATAAAGTATTTTTCTTCTTAATTATTCCCAGTGCTTTTGCTTTCTTTGTTGCTGTATCACAAATGATAACACCATTCAATCTTCCCGGCATATACATTTTATGGTCAGTATATTGAATGAAGTCATGAGGATTAGATGAAAATGATGAAGGATATAATGAATTAAAGTCAACTCCAACGAAATGAGTCATGATGTTAGTGGTGTCCTCATTTGATACAGTTTTAGTTTCTGGATTATATGAAAGTTTATTAATGTGCGTGATTCCTTTAAGATTTACTCTATGTTGAACATTTGATAAACCACCAGTAATTCCATTACGGAGAATGTGATAAGCTTCAACTGAATCTAAAGTCATTGGTAAATTATTTTTTAATGCATAATTTCTTAAATTGATTCTTAAACGTTGAACATCTTCATCTTTATTTGATTTCACAACATTGCAATAACAACACATTAACTGACAATTTTCTTTGGTATGTGGTTCTTCATTATCGATTCTATCCAATGTTGGTTTATTTGCATATGTAAACGCTTTACCACACATTTTGCATTTAGATGAAAGGATTAAATCGTGATAGTATTGAAAATCATCCATTGAAACATTATTTTTAGTATCCCTTTCTGCTTTTTCATCTTGTTTCTTATATGATTCAATTTTATATTTCCAATACTTTTTCGTTAATTCAAAACTTGATTCTATCTCTTCCTCAGGATAGTTTTCATTAGGATTAAAGTCTTTATATGCTAAAGCGTAACGAATCATTGATGCATTCGATGATAAAGAAAGATTATGAAGCATGTCAATTTTATAAACAAATGTTTCTTCAATAATTTTATCAATTGGGTCAATCATAATTTCAACATCTTTATTGCAATAATGAATAAAATATTCTAATCTATTCTTAAAGTTTTTAGCATCATTGAGATATATTTGATAATCACTATCTGATATAGTTTCTTGGGTTAATGCTGAATAAAATGAATCTTGAGTGAATGGTTCCTCTTTATATAATTCTTCTTCGTAATTTTCCCACGTGATGAATTAATCATGATGTTAAAATAGGTAATTTTGCATTTTGTAACATGGAATCATTAGAAGAAGTAGAAATCAATGCAAAAGAAATACCAGCATATTGTTTCTACAATTGTTCAAAACTATCAAAAGTTACACTTTCAAATATAGTTGAAAGTATTCAGTATCAAGCATTTTCATATACAAAACTCAAACAAATAGATTTGCCTTTGTCATTAAAGAATATATTTAGGCCATTTCTTTTATGTCCTATCAGAAGAATCCGTTTCGAATCTAACAAGAATCATCCAAATTTCATCATCACTAGACATGAGTTCATCCGTGTGAAAGAAAACAATGAAAAAGAATTGTTGTTTATTTATGGAAAAACTAAAAACAAGATTATAAATATTTCAGAGGGAATCAAGAGTATTGGAATTGGATCAATATCAGTTGCAAGTCGAAACAGTTATATGGTAAATCTTCCAAATTCGATTGAAAAATTAACCTTCTTTGAAAGTGAAGATTATTCAAATTTAATTCCAGTTCTTTGTTATAGTGGTAATAGTATAATTAATGTTGCATTTGGTAAAACTGATTCCCCAGATATTGAATTTCATTCAGTGACATATCCTGAGTATTACGTTGATTATATCGAAGTAATAAAAGACAGTTGTAAATCAAATGTTACTGAAGAAAATTGTACAGATGATCAAATTATAACAATTGAAGAAACAAAATCGGAAGATTCATTGCATAGTTTAGAGATTGCATTGATTATAATATCTCTTTTGTTCATTGCATCTCTTATCATTCTTCTTTATACAATTTACTTATACGTGAAGAGAGATGATGAAGATGAATCAAATACATTACCAGATATGAAGATTGAAGAAACAGCAATAATAAACACTAATGAAACTGTTGGCTTCACATATGATAATCCACTTTTTTCAAAATCACAATATGAAGATGATCCATTCAAAAGTGATTTTGATGAACACGAAGATAAGAAAGAAAATGATAACTTTCTCGGCAAAGATTTGGAAGAATATTAAATATTATTCTTAGATTTGTTTTGACCGTAAAAAAATAAATGTTTAAATATAATTTGTTGAATGTTTAATAAAATTTAAGAAAAAAAAGGAAATATATAACAAACCTTGTTAGGTGATTAAATCACTCTCGGCTGAAAAGAATAGATTCTCATATGTATACAATTGTTTTTCTTGTTTAACCGCAACTGCTTTTTCAAGTTTCATTTTCGGAATTGGCGATGATTTTTCTGTTTTTTCTTTTCATTTGATTTTTCTTCTTTGTTAGATTTTTCATTTTGAGATTTATATTCACTTGTTAATTTATGCAAAAGATATTGATAATAAATAATAAAAGATATCACTGCAACAGTTAGCATTATGAATATTATAAGAAATGCTAATTCTGCTTTGTATTTTCCGCTTTGTTTGTACAAATTATTGTTATCAACCAAAGAATTATTATTAATAATAATTTCACTATCAAAACAATCACCTTCATTATCAATTGTTTCATTGACATATGTTTCATTTTCTGTTGTTGTATTCTCTTCAGCAGCAAAGCAATCACGATTACGAATTTGTGTACTAAACTCCTCATATGCATAATTATAAACATTACTGGAATAAAATGAATATGATGTAGCTAATTGATATGAATATGACTCAAAAGTAACAGAACGACTTTTATGATAAGTATAACTTTTAGTAGGTTGAAATCCGCTGAGTCGTGCAGTCATAGTTATTGGTGTTCCATAAAAACCGATTGAACCTGATCCTTCTTTGCATAATAATATGTCATAAGTATTATATTTGAAAAACGTTGATGTGTGTAAACAATTATCAATTGATGGTGGTATAACAAGAACTTTCGTATTTAAGGTAGCAAACGATTCAATAGATTCTGAATCAATTCCTTGAACAGATTCACTCATTCTTACTAATGATATATTGTTTCCATATAATGATATCAAAGAATTAGATTTCTTCAATAATACTTCTGTTTCTGTGATATATAATGTCGAATGATCATCGGAAATTATTATTACTAAATCTTTGCAGCCGAAGAAAGCGTTACTTCCAATCTTAAGTATTTTATTTGTGATTGTAAAAGATCTAAGACCACTTAATGCGAATGCTTGCGATGGAACTTCATATAGATAATCATTGAATGAAATTGAAGTCAATTTTGAACAATTCAAAAATGCTTTATCATCTAATTTAACATGTGAAAAATGTGGACTCAAAATGACTTCTTCTAAAGAAACACAATTACCAAAACAGCCATAAGGTACACTGAATACATTTGGAATATCTATTCTTTTTATTAGTGAACAGCCAACAAATGCACTTGGTCCTACAAGATTAATTTTGTTGAGAAAGTCTACATTTTGTAATTTGGAACAGTTTTCAAAGCAATAACTATTAACTGATGAAATAATAGAATTACAAACGATTTCTTTGAGATTAATGCATTCTTTGAAGCAACATCTTCCAAAACTACGAATGGATGTTGATTGAAATGTTATTTTTTCGATGTTTTTGCAGTATGCAAATCCATATTCGATTGATCTTACTGATTCAGGAATGACAAGTTCTTTTGTTGTGCATGATGGAAGACATGATATAAGAATTTGTTTGTCTTTACTGTATAATATTGGATATTCAAACCAAAAATCATAAATTTGATCAAAATTAATTTCATTCAAACTGTCAGCTCCTGTAAAAATGGATAAATCAATATAATCATATCCAATTGTAAGTTTTTTAAGTTTGTTACATCCCGAAAATGCATTAATTATTTCTGAATTTAGTAATGAATCGCCGTTTTCTGAATAATATATAGAATTTACAACAATTTCTTCAATGCTTGTATTTGAAAATGAATTTTACCTAATACTAACACTACCTAATTCTATCTTACCAGCAAGTCCTGAATTACAAAATGCAAACTCGTCAATTGTTGAACATAATAACAAATTAATGCTCTGTAGATTCTTGCATCCATAAAAGCAATATGATGAGATATGAAATACTTTATTAAGTTGAACTTTTTTAAAATTTGAATATGCAAAAATTGTTTTTATTGTTTGCACGTTATCATCGAAATCTATTTCTTCTATATTAGGAAACATTTCTGAGAACCTTTGGATCGAAGGCGTTGAAGTTATTTCCGAAAAAATTAATTTTTTGATATTTCGGTATTTGAAGAAATATCTACCTGGGATATAGCTTTCAGGATCTTTTATTTCCATATTTTGAATGCCTTTATGCGTAATAGTTTGGAAAACTTTAAAACTATACAAGTTATTAAAACAATTAACTATAACAAGAGATTTTCCTGTATCATATTGAAGAATATCAGTAACAGAATAAATCTCATGTTGGATATTTTCGAAAGTCAAAGCTGTTAACATAATGTTTAGGACTTTTTGATTATCACAAATAATTGAATACTTGGGTTATTGAATTGATCTGAATTTGCGATAAAAATAGAAGACCAGGAAGCTCTCAATTTTTAAAAAATGTCTTGGAAAAGGTATATTATAAAGGATATATATCATATTATATAATTTCAAATTTTCATTGAGCTGCTAATGGTCAATACCTAGATATTTAGGGCTCTTTGAATTATCACAAAAAATTGAATAAATGGGTTATTGAATTGATCTGAATTTGAGATTAAAATATATGCGGTATTGAAACTTAAAAAAATAACTATCAATTAACAAAATTGAGGGGAAAAAACTTTCAATGAAGAATAAAATACAGTCAAACAGCTTTTTTTTCTTTAAATCATTAGAATCTTTAACACTTTCAACGAATATGCAAGATTTTGATCCGAAATCTAATTGAAAACAATATTAAAAATCTCTGAAATTAGTTTAAAATAAGAAAATATAGCAAATTGGATGTTTTCAAATTCTATCCTGAAACAAGAATTGGAATTCAGATCATAAATTATTCAACTTTGATCTGACTTTCAATGGAAAAGTTTGCAATGATCAAATCTAGTCATTTAAGTATCGATAAATTTCATATGTATAGTTTGGAATTTTTAACTTTAAAAAATTGTAAAATCAAATTCAATGAGAGGTCTCAAAATCGAAAATTCAGAAAATATAACATACATATAAATTTGAATCTTATCAGTAAAAAAAATTTCGGATTTCAATTTTGAATCATTTTCAGTTCTTGTTAATAATCTTGTTAAGCTTTTGATTTATTCTTTGAATCCTCCTAGTAACTTTCCTTTTGAAATATTTTGACAGATATGGTTTTCATTCAAAATACATTTTGTGAAATGATATCACGCTTTTTTGGCGAAGTTTATTGACAAAAGCCTTAATCCTTCAATCATCAATAACTAAACAAGATGATTTCTTAGTGATATCATCTAATAGCGATTTTTCTTATGATTCTTCAGATTTAAGAATTCATGACGGATTGACTAGTAATTCTGTTACTAAGATCAAGGTTACAGAAGAAGTGTCTATGATAATGCCTTTTACAGGCCTAAATATTGTCACATTATTTGATTTATCGCAGTCAAACGTAGAATACATTCCATCATTTATGTTTCAAAACTGCTACAACTTAGAAGAAGTTATACTAGGTCCATCAACAATAACAATGTATATATCAACGTTTGAAAATTCTGCAATTTCTAAAATAAATTTAGAATACATAAAAAATATACATGACAATGCATTTTTTGGATGCAAAAACATTAAACATGTTGATATTCAAAATGTTACAATGTTTGGATCTTATTGTTTTTCTGAATCTGGTCTAATCGATTTTAAATTCATACAAGATGTCAATGAAGTGGCAGAAGGTATGTTTCAACATTGTGTTGATTTGGAAACAGTAACATTAATGCCTAGAATTGGAATTATTGAGGGCAACGCTTTTTATCAGTGTATTAAACTTCGAAATATTGATAGTTTATATCATATAACTAGAATTGGACATAACGCCTTCGAATATACATCATTAACACAAATAGAAAATAATGAAATATTAGAATTGGATTATAATGCATTTTCTAATATTGTCACATTGCAAAGTGCAATTTTCAGAACAATTCAAACAAATTGTGAAACATTTTTGAACTGTATCAACTTAAAGACTATTGAAATTAAAGAAGCATATTATGTTGATTTGGGATATAACTTTTATAATTGTCTTTCACTGGAATCATTTAAATCTGGACAGGCTCGTGTAATAGCAGATTATGATTTTGCAAATTGTCGTAATTTGGTTACCTTTGATGTACCATTTGTTGCTTTGTTATTGAAATGTTGTTTCAAAAACTGCAAACCATTGACTCATTTTGATTATAATCCTGATTATTTTTATTCTGCAGCATTTCAAGGATGTTCTAAGTTAGAAACCGTTAAATTTTTACACTATGGAAATTTTTATTTAAACACAAAGAAATCGTTATTAGGGTCTTATCGTCCCATTCTATCTCCTATTACTGAATATGTATTTTCAGAATGTACTAGCTTGAAAATTATAGATACTGATTATGGAGAAAAAGGTATGTTTGCAAATTGTTTCTCATTGACTGAAGTTAATTTTTATGGGAAATCATTAAGTTATGGTGCTTTCCTTAATTGTATTAATCTAAAAACCATTAGATTTTTAAATGATCAATATAGTGGTCCATTTAAAGGTGATTCAATTCCATGTAATTGTTTCTATGGATGTGTTAATTTAGAAGAAATTAACTTACCAGAAACTGTAAAAACTATTGAAAATTCTGCATTTTACAACACTTCCCTTAAGAATGGAATTGACCTCAAAAATGTTCAAAATATAAAACCAGATTCGTTCTCGTACTCAAAGGTGTCATCATTAAAGATTTCAAAAGAGGTAAATATAAATAAGAATTTGTATACACTTGAACATTGTGATGAATTAAAAGAGATAATATTTGCTGGTCAAGGATCGATTCCGTTGGCACTCTTGAAAAACTGTCCAAAGTTCAGCACTTTGAAGTTGAGTGACAAATTTACATATCAAAATGGAATTGTTAGAAGAATTGATTCACAATCAGGAAATTCGATTGTGACTTATAATATATCATATGAATCAACTGAAATAATTATTCCAGATGATATTAAAAATATCGCATTTGCAGCTTTCTTATGTTCAAACTTAATTAAATCAATAAAAATTAATCATGATGTTAAAATAGGTAATTTTGCATTTTGTAACATGGAATCATTAGAAGAAGTAGAAATCAATGCAAAAGAAATACCAGCATATTGTTTCTACAATTGTTCAAAACTATCAAAAGTTACACTTTCAAATATAGTTGAAAGTATTCAGTATCAAGCATTTTCATATACAAAACTCAAACAAATAGATTTGCCTTTGTCATTAAAGAATATATTTAGGCCATTTCTTTTATGTCCTATCAGAAGAATCCGTTTCGAATCTAACAAGAGTAGTATATGAGTGCGGGTTGTGTGACTTTTTTTGTTACATCTATATATAGACGATACATTAAAATATAAATCATAGTATTATATGTGGAAGTGTTGTGTACGTAGTATATGTGGAAGGATTGTGTACCTTTTTTTGTTACATCTATATATAGACGATGCATTAAAATATAAACCATTAAAAAATTAACATTAATTTTAAAATAATTTATTTTTTATCTTTTATAAAAGAAGTTATATATAGATGATGTCAGATATTCCGCGATTAATTAAACATTGTTTAAATCCTGAATGGGTTAAACTTCAATTTAAAAATGAAGATTGTGAATTATTAAATGAATATGAAAGCCAAAATAAGCTAATGAGGTATAAATATAATGATAAAGAATATTTAATTTCATGGAATCAATGGAGTCATAATCAAAGACCTCATAAACGAGAAGAAGAAATTGAAAATAATGAAATGGAAATCATTGATGACATTAAAGAGGATGGAATTCCTAAATTTTGTAGAAAAACCTTTAGAACTAAGTTAGGAGCATATAAACGTAGAGTATTAAATCCTGAATATCTTAAACATCAATTTAAAAAGGAAGATTGTGAATTATTAAACGCTAATGAATATGAAAATGCTAAATCAAAACTGAGATATAAATATATTGGAAGTGATGAAAGGTGTAAAGATAAAGATAAAGTTTATTCAGTTTCATATAATAACTGGCACACGTTAGGGATAAGAAAACATTTAGGAGATTATGGTAAAAGTTCCGAATTCTTCAAATCTAGTATGTACGAGAGAATAAAAGAAATTAGAAATAATTATTTTCATGAATGAAAGATTCACTACCATAATGAAATAAAAAATAATTTTAAAAAATAAAACTTAAAAATTCATGTCTTACATTTTTGAATAATTTATTTTTTAATTTGTATGAAAATGAGTGTCAAAACTAACGACGTTAAAAAATTGGAATTCACAAATGAGGAAATAAAGGATATATTAGAGGAGGCGGTTATGAAGTTAATAAATATTATTTAAGAAATTGTCAAAAATTCGCGGAGTTTTTAAATGATTTGATTATGATGAAAAATGAATAAAGATGATGTTATAAATTTCTTATATCCCACATCTGAAGAAGAAAAACCTAAAGAACCTGATGTTTTCCCTGAATATTATGAAGAACGGATTAAAGATGATGAATATGATGAAATTGAAAGACTGGAAAAAATAAGAGATGAAATAGATGAAAAAATTAAGGAATTAAGAGAAGTTGAAAAATATAATGAGAATGAAGTAGAGGGTTTAATGAATATCCCAGCTTCAGAATCAGAAGTTCAAAAATCTCATGAAGAAAGATATAAAAATTATTCTCAGAATCTAACAAAAATTTATTAGATGGTGAAATAGAAAACACTTTCAGAAGAAGGCACAAAATTTATTCATAAACATAAGTTACAATTTATTGACGATGGAGATTATCCATGTATATTACTTTCACCTCCTCTTGATTCTGAAAAATTCAAAAAAGCACTGAAAAATGTAACATATGCAACAAATACGATTAAGAAAGAAGACCATGATATTTACACAAATTATTATTTAAATAAATGTACAGGTGTTGATAAAGTTTTTGATTTGTTAGATAAAATATCAAAAGAAACAATTGGTACATATAAAATTTTATGCGATTGTGGTTTCATTATTGAAGATACTAATAATGTTTCATATGAAAGAACAGCACCGAAGGAAGACGAAGTTGAAAGGTCTATACCATTCGTTATTAAGAATATAAAAGATATGAAAACTTATAAACATTATATTTATTCATTTATTTCAGAAAAAATGGAAGCAACCCATAAAACATCATCTCATCATTTTATAGCTATTCATACATTCCTTTTCAAAGTTGTGAAATTAAATAAGACAGGAATTAGATTTAATGTATCAGGGTACGCATTCTTGAGTAAATTAAAATGTATTCGTCACGTCGCAGATGATAAAAATTTATGTGTTCTTAATTCATTTTATGGACTTTAGCCCTGGACTTTAAAAAAAATAAACTTTATTTTTATTTATTTTTTAATTTTTTATTCTTACATAAATGAACAAAAACGGAACAGCTAAAATGAATGATAATCAAATAGAGCAGAAGGTAGAAGGTTATTTAAACGCTTCTATAACATTCCTGATGGTGTTAATCCTAAAACTCGTAGAAGTTATTTAAATGAAGCCATAGATGCATATGAAGGGTTTGACATTTCATCAGAAAGTGAGAGGTTAGCAAGAATGTTAAACGTTAATATTGATTTTTATTATTGTGACCCTCAACCAGAAGACGTAGACATAAAAGGTAGACTTTCCATTAGTGGAATCAATAATGATAGATCCAGAATTTGAAACAGTAAATATTTTATTAACACAGAGTCCATGTGGAAAACTTCACGCTGACAGAATTACAGACGTTGAAGCACTCACAGGATATAAAGTTTGCCCCTTTTGCAAAGAAGAAGTTATTCTATCCGTGATGACCAGAAAGGAAAAACCAAAGAAGATTTTTAAAACATTGTGAGAAATGTAAAGAAAATAATGGAAGATTAATTCAAGACGTTCAATTGCAAAACACACAACAACCATATGCACCACATATCACGAAACAGAAGATATATCAATGGCTATTAGCACATAATTTGCAGGAATATTATAAACCAACAAGATATTATATTACTTTTGACTTCGAAACATTAGAGACTAAAGAAGAACTTCAACTTTCTGAATGTGCAACTTTGAACGCTTACTTAAAACCATTTATGGTATCATCAACTGTCAAAATAAAGCCGCAAACGGACTCTTTGAGTCCTGAAGGTCTTTCAGACCGAAGCGGCGAGGTCGTAGACCGTGATAAAACATTTACGAGGAATTTTTGCTTAACATCAAGTGATTCTTTTATTTCTGATTGGATTGAGTTTTTATTTTCAACCTGTTCATTAGTTGCTAAATCAAATATTGAACAATATGAAGAATTAATGAAGCCGCAAACGGACCAAACGGCGGGGACTTTGTCCATACATTAAATGAAAACAAAAGGAAGCATTTAAAGAACTTTAGATGAGGAATTCAATAAAGTGAATATCATAGGTTTTAATTCGGGAAAGTTTGATTTAAATTTAATTCTTCGTGATTTAAACACTGCAAAATGGAAAATAAAATCAATGCTGGGTTCATCTTCTCAATTTAAGCAAATCATTGTAAAGAAAACAAACTGTCCATATGAATTAAGATTTATTGACATCAGAAATTATATAGCGGGTGGAACATTAGACCAATTCACTCAAGATTTCGGAAACAATAAATCACGTGTTAAATCCTTTTTCCCTTATCAATTCATCACGTGGGAAAATTACGAAGATGAATTATATAAAGGAACCATTCACGAAAGATTCATTTTATTCAGCATTAACTCAAGAAACAATATCCGATTCAGATTATCAAATATATCTCAATGATGCTAAAAATTTTGAGAATAGATTAGAATATTTTATTCATTATTGCAATAAAGACGTTGAAATTATGATTGACCCAATTGATAAAATTATTGAAGAAACATTTGTTTATAAAATTGACATGCTTCATAATCTTTCTTTATCATCGAATGCATCAATGATTCGTTACGCGTTAGCATATAAGAACTTCAATCCTAACGAAACATATCCAGAAGAAGAAAATGTGGAATCAAGTTTTGAATTAACGAAAAAGTATTGGAAATATAAAATTGAATCATATAAGAAACAAGATGAAAAAGCAGAAAGGGATACTAAAAACAATGTTTCAATGGATGACTATCAATACTATCACGATTTAATCCTTTCATCTAAATGCAAAATGTGTGGTAAAGCGTTTACATATGCTAATAAACCAACATTGGATAGAATCGATAATGAAAAACCACATACCAAAGAAAATTGTCAGTTAATGTGTTGTTATTGCAATGTCGTAAAATCAAATAAAGATGAAGATGTTCAACGTTTAAGAATCAATTTAAGAAATTATACATTAAAAAATAATTTACCAATGACTTTAGATTCAGTTGAAGCTTATCACATTCTCCGTAATGGAATTACTGGTGGTCTATCAAATGTTCAACATCGTGTTAATCTTAAAGGAATCACGCACATTAATAAACTTTCATATAATCCAGAAACTAAAACTGTATCAAATGAGGACACCACCAACATTATGACTCATTTCGTTGGTGTTGACTTTAATTCATTATATCCTTCATCATTTTCATCTAATCCTCATGATTTCATTCAATATACTGACCATAAAATGTATATGCCGGGAAGATTGAATGGTGTTATCATTTGTGATACAGCAACAAAGAAAGCAAAAGCACTGGGAATATTAGAAAGAAAAATACTTTATTCGTGGCTGAAGTAAAGGGTCACATTGATGAAAAATACATTAATGATTACATAAACTTTTTACCAATAATAAGAAACTTAGATATTATCACAGATGAAAAAACAATTGGCAGTTTTATGTATAATTACATGAAATCAAACAATCTACCAGTTGACCAGAAACAGAGAAATTAACTCAGTTAGCATCAACACACAACCAATATCAACCATTTTCTTCTTATTATCTTTGGTATCTAATAGACAGATTTCATTTTATCATTGATGATATTCAATCAATTTTAACATTTACGAAAAACACTTGTTTTAATGAATTTGCGAACGAATTTATGAACGAAAGACAAAAGGCTGAATTAGAAGGAAATAAAGGAAAAAGTTTATTTTGCAAGATTTCACTTAATGGATCATATGGTTACGATGCAATGAATACACAAAATTACGCAAAGACTAAAATAATGAATGCACAGAAGGCACGCGTTGCATGTATGTCAAATAAGTTTAAAAACATAAGAGAAATAGGTGAAGATACGTATCAAGTGATGCTTAAAGATAGATTTTATAGATGTGATACATGTTTA